GCCAGAGGTGAAAGACCTTTCACCTCTCGCACAAGACACAGACAAAGCACAAGAAAGCTTATAAACCAAGGCCGAAGAGACATCCACCCCGAAAGCAAGCACCGCACGATACAAGGCAACAGTATTAGACATCAAACGATGGTCCTGAAAATGCCGAGGTAGAAAGGATAAGACAACCCGATCAGAAATAGAAGACAACCTACGGAGAGAGAGAAAGTGACAGAAAGAACGCCAGCAAACTTCATATTGTCGCCAAGATGAAGCTCTCAGATGGGATACTGTACTATCAACAAAGCCACCTGATCACCATATAAATGGTAATGAACCCGCATCAAAAAGACCAAACGCGAAGAGTGGAGGAGATGACTGAACTAGCCGTGTATTGGACCTGTCTGATCCGCGGAAAACGTTCTGAGTTCGCACACCAAGCAAGCAGCGCCTGGAAACAAGGCTGGGCCAGCCACCAAGGGGCCACGAGGACTACTCTCCCATAATAGGACTTCAACCGAGCCAGAACCCGAAGCAACAACTGGACCGGGGGGAAGAGGTACAGGTAGTCCTGGCGAAAGGCGTTCACTGTGTCGCAGTCGGGGAAGGGCACCACATAGATCGGGAGATGCCGAGACCACACTGACGCGAAGAGGTCCACGTCCGGCAGAACCAACGGAAGGAGTCAGCGTCGATCATCCATTTTGTGGACAGGGGAATGAACCGAGACAGGCCGTCTGCTAGGATGTTAGACATTCCTCGGATATGAACCGCATGGTAAGCCAAACCCCGAGAAGCCAACAGACAAGCCACTCAAATCAACCAACCCCAAAGAGGCAAGGACCGAAGAGAGCCTCCGCAGTTCAGGCAATGAACCATCAAAGAACAGTCCGAATGGAGCCGGATGGTCGAACCCTGAGTGACCCAAACCCTCTGAAGCGACAGCCAAACCACTGGGAACTCCCGCATCGCGTTGTGAGCCCAACGGAAGAATGGACCACATTGCCCCTGGCCGGCCTGGTGAGCACTGGTCACAAAACCCCAGCCGAGAGACGACATGTCCATGAACACATCGAGCGAGGGCTCAGGAAGGCATCAAGGCACTGAACCCCCGAAAATCATGAAGAGGAAGCCGATGACGCAGCAACCGATGCAAGGCCCCCGGCCGGAGTATGAACCTAGCGATCACGAGAGAAGTAGAGTAGAAGGAGCATCCTCGAAGGAACCAGAACAGACACTGAAGCCAAACCTGACCCTGCACATAGAGCAGCCCGGCGAAGTTTAAACTTCCGCACAACTGGTCGAGCAACCGCCAAGTGACCCGGGACCCCCCCCCCCCAGAAACAGCCGAAGGTGGGACCGCAGCCTCAGCAATGCCTCCGGTGGGAGAGACATGGAAGCCGTCCAAGAGTCCCAAACAAGACCCAAACAGGTCCAAACCTAGGGCAGAACCAGATGAGACTTCCTGCAGTTCACTAGGAACCCAAACCCAGCAAGTTGGGAAACAACCACACTCCTGGTAAGCAGACAAGCGAACCAGCTGGGAGCCCACACCAGCCAGTTGTCGAGGTAGGCCAGGGCCCGAACACCTAGCAGATGCAGACGGGTCACCACGACCCGGGTAAGACGCGTGAAAACGCGAGGTGCCAGATTCAAGCCAAAATGAAGGCAATGAATGCGGTAAGCCTGACACCCCACTGTAAAACCTAGCCAGACTCTGAACCCTAGATGAATAGGGACATGCTAATATGTGTCCTTGAGGTCCAGGGACACCATCCAAGCACTCAGCTCTGAAAGAAGCCAGACCTGAGACAGAGTGGTCATCCAAAAGGAGGGGCAAGGACTCCAAGGATTCAGATGGGACAAGTCCAGAATGAACCGCAGATCCGCACATTCCCGTTTGGGCACTGGGAACAAGCAAGAAACCCACCTGAAGGACGGAGTCGTTTTGACCATGCCCAAGTGCACCCACTCCGAGATGACTTGATGAAGTGCAGGAGAAGAAGCCTGCCCTGTCACCCCCGAACCCCCCGAAGGAGGAGGAGCTGCCCAATGCCACCACAGGCCAGATGACACTGCCAAAAACACCCACAAATCGTGGGACCAAGCACAAGCAAACAGAGGGAGCCTCCCCCCTATCACCCCATCAACGGGGTGATGGCGGGATGCCAATGGGTCGACGCCCATTATGATTAGCTGGCCAAAGCAACAGAGAGATCATCGTGCCGACCAGACGACGCCGGCTTCGAAGGCAACGTTGGCTCAAAAGCTTGCACCAACAGCCCACCTCGACTAGTGGAATCCCGAGCCCTGGCATGGCCCTTCCAAGAAGACCGAGAAAGGCCACCCTGGAGAACCAACATCTACGACATAGGAAAACAACTAGACGAAACCGCCTGCAGAAACTGAAGCTGAAAAAATGTGATAGCAGACTCTGCAAACAGCAATGAACAAAACGGCAACAAAAACCTAAGAGCCAGGGCCCAAGCAGATTCCAAAGAGAGAGCAAGCACGGCCTGTCGACATGCGAGGCGAGAAGCATAGAACAGAGACCATCTCCTTTAGGATAGGCACAAACGGCTTCAACAGTGAGGCCGACACCCGAGCCCCCGAGGACAGCACACCAGACAAAGGCCCGGCACTCAACGCTTCAATATCCTTTTCATGCCAGGTCAAAGACAGCTCGAGAAGAAAAAAAAAGTGCAAGATCGAAGCCAAATGCCCACAGGCTCACAAATATTCAGCAACCAAGGACACCGAAAGGGTAGGAACCTGCATAAGTAGCTGCACAAGGCCAACATCCCAAGAAAGCACAGGTGCCAACAAGCAAGCATTAAGGTGCTCCAACTCGCCCCCAGGTAAACCTGTAGAACGGTAGATGTTTCTTGCCATTCAAGAATGCGGAACCAACAGAACCCATGCTACGCCCCCAATGAAAAGAATGCCTAGTCTGCCAGGCAGGAAGACTCCAGAGTACCAAACGCACCTAATACGAGGAAGAAGAACCAAACTCAAATAAGGACAAATCCATCACGGAGGCGAAATCCGGGTCTCACAGGAGGTACACAGCAAGAGCCTCCTGAACCTCCCAAGTGGAGATATGAGAGGCAGAAACCTTCGGGAGGACAGGGCGGAGGAACCCAAAGGAACCTGGAATCGAGCCCAGTAAGGAGCCGACCTCAATCATACTCATACAGGGAAGGGGTGTAAGAAAACCCCTCCCCCTGCAACAGCAAGCCCTGTGAAGAAGGCACTAATAACTAAGTGGGGTCAAAGAGGGCTCAAGGCCCCCAGATCGACTCCTCCCCCAGTCCCGGGATCCCCCAAGTCGGGACCTGGGGCAAAGTAGTCCTCCATACCCTCTACCCCTAAAGAAAAGGCAGAGCTTCTGGTGGGACCTTGAAGCCTCGATAGGAGGAACTGGCTTGAATGCCTCCGTCCCCAACCCGAATGGGGCAGCCCCCGAAGCTACCCGAGTCTCATTACCAACTAAACCCTGCCCCGACTCCGAAACCCTCAGACGTTTGGGAGCCGGAAGCAGGAATGGGGGGGGGGGGAATGTGGGGGCAGAGTAGAGTGAACAAAAGGGAAAGGACCAGGGAGAGCAGACTGAACCAAAGTCCAAGCAACTAACACCCCGGATCCCCTATAACCAAACCGGGGCATTCACGGGGCATCCAAGTGGGAAACCAACCTAGCTCGTTGTAGCAACTTGAATCTAGCATGCAATGCGGATGCTGCCTGTATCCTAACAGCAATGTCATCATAATAGTACTGGAGAACAAGCTGAGAACATGACTCGCAAGACTCCCGGTCAAAGGTGTCGTTGACCCAACAGGCAGCATGATGGAGGCAAAAAGAGGTGACTCACCCTGAGATAAGGGCACACAGCAACCTTCGAACCCGCACGAGGCAACCTGGAACTCGGAATCCATAGGTCCACCGAGCCCCGACACGGGTTTTCCAGGGTTCGTAGGCTGACTGCTACGGGACGCCCAGGAAAGGTGTTGCTAACCAGTTAAGACCCAAAGCTAACAAGAGGGAAGATCAAAACACTGAAACCCCTGCAAGGTGTATAATCACAGGGGGCCTAGCAGAGGGCCACCAAAATAATAGAAGTGGAACTACTGTATAGCCACACCAGGCAGACCGCAAAAGTACCCAAAAGTACAACATCCCCAGAGGAAACAGTAACTGGCTGCCGCATAGGTAGGCAGGCTGCACAACACCTTGATGTCCCAACCAGCACAATACCACTCCCTTCCCAAGGTCAAACAAGGGCCATGAAACCCCAGCCGGCTCCTAGGGCGGGGTTGTCCGCCCCAGACCACATTAGCTAATGTATTGGAGTGCTGGGGCGGTCCAGGACTTTCCCCTTCCTGATATGGGAAGGGGAGGGGAGAGGAGGGCTACGTGGACGAGCGGCACAATAGTGCAGTGTGACATTTGCTTATTTCCTTTGGGATTGGTGGGAGTTCTGCCTCTCTGTTCGGTTTTTCGTTGTACTTTTCTTACCATGTGGGGTTTGTTTTGTTATGCCTACCTTTCTGGGTGCCTAACCCTGATCGATGGCAGGTAAGGAAAACTCCCAACCACAAGGGGTTTTCCAGGGCCATTGCTCCCTGCAGCCTCTCTGAGGGGGCCAGGTTTTGGCTCGTGGTCCCCAGTACGTTGAACTCCATAGACTAAAGCCCCAGTCTAATATATCACACATTAGCCCAATAGCTCCAAGGAGCCAAAGGGGCTCCCCACAGAAAACTAGTTTTAAGATGACTGTAAGGGGTTATACTACCTAATTTCAACAAGAAGCTTCCTTTATAAACACAAAAATTACAAGTTCAAAGTTAATAAAAAGGCATTCTCAAGTTTTCATCCAGATAGCTAAATCAAACAATAAAAAACTAAGAGTAATATTATAAGATACCCCCCCTACTGGGGATTCCTGTACCTAATAAGAGACTTGGTAAATAACTCTCGCAATAAGGGCCCTACAAACTGGGGAAAATATTTACCTGGGCCACTAAGACTTTGGGATCCACTGCATCCTTTTGCTTGCAAGGAAATAAATAATTTGGGTAAAATTCTCCATACTGGAGAAATTTTGTTTTAGATTAGCTATATACTGTATGTTGTTACAAAGCAATCCTTATGAATTTAGAGACATATTATACTCTTACAAAGATCTATCTGAGGTTTCCTTTGCAACATTGTTAAACATTTACATAAAGCACCTTATTGAACAAGTAAAGCCCATTTAAAAGAAAAATTACACATATTTTTTCTATCTATGTGAAATACTTCAAGGAATATCATCCTAACATGCTTCATTTGTTACATGACTTATTTCTGCAGGTAAACATTATTACCTCTGTTAAGACCTGAAAATTTGACCATTCAAATATATATTACTACACTATATAAACTTCCTTATACCCCCCCCCCCCCTTTCCCAAGAGTCGGCACAACAGGTGTAACCACGCGCATGTATCATTCACACACTATTGACATAGCATGTGACCTTATATCCTATTTTACCTACAATACATACCCTAGCAATAAACAGGGACAGTGCAGATATTAGTATATTGCAAACACTGGGATCAAATAGTGATAAAAAAAATATTGTACATGTGAATTAAAGACATTAACATTAGAAGTTAGATGACTGAGTTGATGAGCATACTGGTCATTTCTCAGAACAGCATGCAAAAGAAAAAGCATAGAAACAGGTAATATAAAATGCTATAAGATACTGCACTATATAGTAGAGGATTGGTAGTTCAATTAATGACTGCAACTTCCTGACAAAGTATTGCTTGGACAAAATAAAGAAACCACCATATTTCAAATCCATTACTGATTTTTAAGAGAATAAACAAAATCTGATACAAAGGAAAAGACTACCAGGAATCCATTACAAAAACTAATACATATGGAAGGTAGTTAACATTAACAACAGGAAATCCTAATAGTCACAATTTTTGTACCCAGTTCTACTTACCTGCTATGGAAACCGTTTGCAAATCAATCATTCTGGCACCCAGCAAGGAAACATGGAAATACATGGCTTTGTCGTCTTATCGTCTTCTGGTGTGTGGTTTGGTCATTATGGAAAGACACCAGACTTCTGGATTACTAACAAAATTTCTTGTGGTTGTCTATTTTCACTAGCCTTATTAAAGCTAAAGGCAAACATCAAGCTCCATAGGCAGAAGTATACTTTCCAAGTCCAAATGTTGATAAGATGTACAGTAATTGGATTCTCCAATATGATTAGATCTAGAGTCTACCCTTACAGGCATATTTTTCAAGCTTTACATTAGTCTTAGGTTTCCCCCACAAGTCTTTGTATGTATAGACTTCACACAACCTACAAATTATATGAAAAGGCTTTACAAAATTCTGATAAAGAGGTCTAGGGGTCGTTCTATATAGAACACACCTGTGAACCACATAAAAAACATTGTGTAAGGAGCTTATGCTACGCTTTTCAATTTTAGAATTGCTTTTAAATACATGGATGATGAAATACTAAACAAAATTTTCACAACCTTTGTGAGACCATAGCTGGAATATGCAGCAGTTGTATGGTGCCCATATCTTAAGAATCACAAACTGGAAAAGGTGCAAAGACATGCTACTAAATGGCAAAAGTAGCTAAGTACGTACAAAATAGTAACGGGAATTGACAAACTTGATAGGGAAGAATTCCTGAGAACTGGAACTTCAAGAACAAGATATCAAAGATTTAAACTAATTAAACAAAGATCCCAAAGACATATAAGAAAAGTCACCACAGGCACCACACCGCTCTCTGCGCAACTTTCGCCTCCCTGGGAGGGGGAAGTGGGGGTTCCAATCCTCCCACGCCAGCTATCTAACCCCAATTCAGAGGCTGAATATCAAAAACATGAAAAAACACCAATTGGAGGGAGGGAGGGATGCTGGGGAGCCTCCGGGTCTTGCCCAGAAAATGGTGTTTCATTAAATTCAACGCTAGTCTTCTGTGGAGAGCCCCTTCGGCTCCCTGGACCTACCTAACCAAAGAAAAAGTAAAAGAGGGACTTACCCGGGAGGCAGCCACCACTCGACCTTCAACTCAAAGTTGAGACAACTAGCTGCAACCTGCAACCCAAGGCTACACACGCCGGAGAAGGGCCAGGAACATTAACGAGGTACCTCACTACCAGGACCCTGTTCGACCACCAAATGCCTGAATGTTAGCTCAGGACATATTACCAAAAACAGCAGCCAAAGCTGTGAACTTATGAATGTTGTGGGCACGGGGATAAACCGCAGGCTGGCTGGACCGAATAATCCTGCGGACGACCTGGGAGACCCCCAGGTTTCCCACGTCATCGTTTGTTGTTTGGACACCATACAAGCTTATTTCTACAGTTGGTTCACACTTTTTATTATATATCACACTACACACTATTGAATAATATTACTGCCAAACAACAGAGAAAAAGTCAGAGACATTGAAATAATTAGGTAATAATATCTTTGTGGCAACTCCCGCTTGTCAGCGTTGGTGGAGCAGACCACCACAGGACGCCTAGTCTGTCAACACCTCAATTTTGCCAAACTTTCCCGCCCTATTGCGGCCAAAATATGTCACCTACGATTGTTTTATTATTTTTCCCGTGATCAGGGAACAGAAATGAACACTTTTATAAGATGAAAACAAAATTTTGAATTATTTTATTTATTGCGCCTGGTGGTGTTGAAGGCTATTAATAGCAGAGGAGCAGAAGGGTTAAGGCAGTTTCAAGGCATTATATGACAACGAGTGCTGAGAAGACAGAACCCCACAAGCATAGTTCTCATCCTGTAACTACACTTAGGTAATTACACACTATATCACCAAGGTCTAGTAGTGTGACTTTACCAAATTGCATAGCTCTTAAAAGTTTAAAATACATCAGGAAATCTGTGTACCTATTGCCTCAATCTACAAAGATTTCCAGTCTATAAATATATTTTCACTGTTCTTTATCAATGGAGAGTGTGTGAGGAGCATTTGCTATGCTTTTTCAACATTAGAATCGCTTTTAAATACTGTACATGGATGGTGAAATATTAAAGAAATTGTTCACACCTTTGTGAGACCAAAATGGATATATGCAGTGGTTGTACCAGAACTAAAAAAAAAAAAAAAAAAAAAAACGATACGATAGAAGAAAAAGTGGTGATATGATCACTATGTACAAAATAGTAACCCGAATTGAGAAAACTGACAAAGAAGAATGATATAAACTGCAACTTCAATTACAAGAGGATATAGGTTCAAAGTAAGGAAACAAAGCTGCCAAAAACAAAATTAGAAAGTTCACTTTTGCCAACAGAGTGATATATAATTGGTTGGAACAAGTTAAGAGAACATGGTAGAGGCCAAAACTGTTATTAATTTCAAAGTGTCATATGACAGTACTGGGAAGACGGGAAACCACAATTTTAGCTCTCCATCGTCTCGTTCTTAACCAGAAAAGAAGGAGACAGCTGCAAATGAAAAAACATTCACCCAGACCAAAAGAACAAAAGCCTCTACGCCAGAGGAGAGCATGAAGCTCACCGATCCGACCCTCAGAAGCCAAAGCCAACAACAACAAAGCACCTGGTCCAAAGACCAGGATGGCTAAGGCAGCACATGAGAAGGCCGGAAGTGAAAAAAGGCACGAGAAAGCTTACGAAACAGAGCTGAAGTGACATCCATCCTGAACACAAGCTGGAGCGGCTCCGCCAACGCAGCACGAGTGACCTTACGCGCAGTCCAGAGTTCCTCCCTATGACTTTTTTTTTTTTTTTTTTTATAAAGAAGGAAAAGTCATGGTCAGTGTGTGGGGGTCACCCACTGGGATCCCAATAGTTCTCAGGTCGACCCCATATAACTGCGATCTTTCTTAGAAATTGACATAATAAAACTAGAGATCTGCAATCAGGATGATAAACTAAAGATTATAAATGCATATAGTCCACCGCCAATCTTGAGGTTATCTTGAGGTTATCTTGAGGTTATCTTGTCGTGCCAAGCAACACATCGACAAAGGAGCTAGATAATAAACGAGAGGGGTCTATTAACAATAATGAGAGAAATTATAGCGAGAGCTGATAAAGATAGATCACAACTGTTGGTAGTTGGCGACTTCAACTTGAGATCCATAGACTGGGAGGCTTATGAAGCTAGAACAGAGGATTTTTGGACTTGTATATTCATAAACCTCATCCTGGAAACATTCATGCTTCAACATATTGAACAAGCTACGAGGATGAGCGAAGGGGATGTTCCCTCCATGCTGGATTTGATATTTACCAGGAAAGAGGAAAAGATATTTGATATTCAGTACCTTCCTCCCTTGGGTAAAAGTGACCATGTCTTTTTGGGAATAAAGTATGCAATGCATTATAATCTGGAAGAAATTGAGGTTCAAGCAGTTGAAAAACCTGATTTCAGGAGACGTCCTTATGGGGAACTCAGACATATCTTTAACCCTTAGACCCCGCATATTACCGCGAATTTAGGGGGGCATAACATCGAAAAATATTTGAATTATGTAAAAATAACTTAAAAATGTTAAACAACTCTCCAACTTATTGGCTTCAGTGTCATGAAACTCTCATAAAAATATTTTCAGAAATTGATTTTAGACGAATTTTTGAAAAATAAGAACATTTTATTGATAAGAAGAACAGCTCCTAATAACTGTAGCTGAAGGATTATGCAGTAGTAAAGAAATGCAAGCAGCTGTCCTATACTCAAAGAAGAAGACTAGTAGTAAGAAGTGTCTACAAAGTGGGTATGCAGTTGGTGCCATTATATCATTGCCGAGTAATACATAATAACGCAAAACATAATGAATAACAATGTTAATATAATCTATTTTGTTATATATCATATACTGTAAATACATTGTCCAATGTTAATATATGTTACTTTCATCAATGTTCCAAAAATATTTTTTTAGGGGATATTTTTTTTTTACGATTTTAGTTATTTTTTTCTCCTTTGTTTATTATCTGATTTTGTTTTAACATTTACATCTTGGAGAATGCTTATGTTTTCATAACTATGTGAAGATAGAATTGGTCAACAAACAAGTCAGTCACAATTAGCAATACTTGGGACTTTTAATTTTTTTGGCTGATTTTTTCTCTGATTTCAAATTCTATTTTCTTTGTCTCTTTAGGTTGTTTTGATGATTAGGGACCATATTAGGGCTTTTTCACTTATATAGAGGATACCCTAAATATATCCCCTAAACCATTATATTTATCCCTATATAATGAGGTCGTGATGGTCAAGCGGATTAAGGCGTCCCTGTACATACCAGTTGCGTTGCTCCTGGCAGTATGGGTTCGAGTCACTTCTGGGGTGTGAGTTTTCAGTTGTATATAGTCCTGGGGACCATTCAGGCTTGTTTGCATGCATGCATGCATGCATGCATACATGCATATATATATATATATATATATATATATATATATATATATATATATATATATATATATATATATATATATATATATATATATATATATATATATATATATTATATATTATATATATATATATATATATATATATATATATATATATATATATATATATATATATATATATATATATATATATTTATTGTACCAAGACCTAAGCTGACCCTAAGGGTGAGGCAGAAGCCAAGCAACCGCTACCTCTACAGGAATAGGGACCTGAAGGACCCAGAGAAGATAACTCTGAACCTCAAGGGGTTTACTTACAGGGCGCTTAGGGAAGGTAGCTATAAGCACATGCAGCCCTTGGTACGAACTCCTGGCCACTGCCAACGTACAGCAGGAACACCAGCAGGGTGAAGCCAATAGGGCAACCAAGACCAGAGCAGACTTCTACCCCATATAGCTTCAGCCGACAAACTGACTATCCCCTGCTGGCTTGGTGGGCTGGGAACCCCTCTTCCCCCTCCCAAGGTGGGGGGGGGGAAGGAGGAGTCAGCACAAATGAGTGGCATGCTGTGTAATGACGTGTTGCTTGTTAGCTTGTTTTTCTTTGGGGAAGTTTCTAGCCTCTGTTCTGTCTCAGGTTGCAATTTTCCTACCAGGTGGGGGTCTGTCTTGAAATGCCTACCATTCTGGGAGCTCAACCTTGGTCGATGGCAGACATGAATACTTCATACATGAGAGTTTCATAGGGCATTGCTCCCTTCACCTCTCTGAGGGGACCATGTTCTGGCTATTGGTCCCTGGTTGGCATGACAACTCCATATGATTGAAGTCCCATACTAATATTAGCTAAAATCAATCCAATAGCTGCAGGGAGCCAATGGGGCTCCCTCACAGAAAACCATCGTTGAATGTAATGAAACGCAATTTTCTGGGTGAGCCCCGGAGGCTTCCTTAAGCTATCCGTACTGATATATGCTGTAATAATTTGGGGTCATCAGTCACAAGAGTTCTTGTGCCTACTGGGAACCATGAGCCATAACCTGGTCTCCTCAAGAGGGACGCAAGGAGAAATGGCCTATGAGCACTTTACATTTAAAGTATGTCCAAATTGCCAACGACTGGGGAAGGACCCGGAAAGGTAGGTGAATAAAAACAAACCACTGTCTGGTTAACCTGTACAATCTACATCCAAAAAAATAAAAAGAACTTCCCTAAAAAGAAAACCAAACAAGCAACCCTTTGTGTGACTAGCATTTCCGCTCATTACCGTTATTCTCCTCTTCCCTTTGTAGGAGGGAGGGGGAGTAGGCAGCTCACCACTCCAGTTCTTGAACGATGAAAAACCGTCGACCAGAGGGAGGGAGGGGGTGTCAGGGAGCCTCTGGGGGCTCACCCAGAAAATGGTGTTTCATTACATTCAACATTGATTTTCTGTGGAGAGCCTTGTCAGCTTCCTGCCTAGCTACCCAAAGATAAGTAAAAGAAGTGACTTACCCAGGAGGTGGCAGCACCGCAATTCTCAAGACGAAAAGAGATAGACGGCCACGACAGATGCCCTAAAGCCACACACAGCCTAGAAGGAACTGGAACGTTCACTAGATGCCTGGCGGCCAGGACCCTGTTCGACCTCCAAACCCCCACACCCCTAATGTCTACCCCAAAACATGTTGCCCCAAAACAGCTGCGAGAGGCCCGGCCAAAACAGGCCGGGCTTAGGGAGTAGAAGAACTCCCAGAACCCCATCAAGCAGGAGAGCAGCATATTTCTGAATAACTGCAGGCTGGCAGGATTTGATGACACTGTGGACAACCTGAGACACATGAGCCCTGGAACAGTGAACCAGGGAAACCGAATGCACCCAAAGAGTATCCATCATCACAGAACCAGTGGCCCGCAGGTAGCTGCATAAAGCCGCCACCGGACAAAACACGTGATGCAACCTAGCCTAACCAACCAAGCCTCCACAACCAATGGACCTCTCCAGAAGCCCACCTTCTCATTCTTCACCCTTGTGGGAAACACCCTTGTGCAAGAGCCCAATGCAGAATGTAGTTTTTGTTCCAGATTTTGGATTCCTCTATATTTCACTTACGGCCTTTTGCTCTATTTGCCTCTCCTAGATTTTATATGATTCTTGAAACTTTAGCTCAATCATTTCTATTTCTCTACATAGCCTTCTTTTTCATTCTTGGGATATAGTCGAGCATATTAGATGTTTTGCAATTTGTTTTCTTCACCTATAGAGGAAACACCGTTCTCGTTCCAGTTTGCATCTTTTTCTCGTTCTCCCTAGTGGAACATGACTTGCACATATTTTTAGTGCTACTGTGCCTATTTTCTCAAGGCACTGGTTTAAGTTTGCATTATCTAGCTGTTTCTCAGCATATTTCAGTGAGGGCTTGGTTTATATGTTCCCAGTTAATTCACTTGTCATTGAAATTTAATTTGCTGAATTCTCCTTCTCTTGGATTTGAGGCTGGCTGTACAGGTCTACTGCCCATGCATGTCTGAACTTCAAATAGGTTGTGATCTGAGTAACATGTATTTGTAGTCATTATGTCCTTAGTCAGTTCATCATTATATGCAAAAATAAGATCTAAAGTGTTTTCTTCCCTAGTTCTACTATTTGTTGGTTTAAGGCAAATTTGTCATACATCAGCAAAAGATCATATATATGATTGTTCACTTAAACTGCTTCCTGGGATTATTTCTGGTATAACTGTATTTGCCCCATTTTTCCATTTAAGGTGCCGTAAATTGAAGTTGCCAAGCAAGATAATGCTTAGGGCAGGGTGTGCGAGGTTTTCTAAGCAGTATTTCAAGAGTTTTAAAATGACAATGTACTATCAATGAAGGTAATCATTGAGCCTACTATACAGTACAGTATTCAGTTTCACACTCAAGCAGGTTGTCCCCAGGGTTGATAAAAATATAAACTTCCTATAAAGGACTTTTAGTATCTTAGAAAATCATAACGAGTCAGCATAATAGTTTTAGTATTTACTTTTTAACTAAGATTAATAAGCTTTCTATGCAATACAGAATTAAAGCATACTTACTGAAGAGTGTCCATCCAGTGAACGGGCTTTTCTAAGGCGACTCTTGCATGCATCAAGATCTAGCCTAACCAAAAAGAAAAGAAGGTTATTAAATCCTTTTGTCAACTAATGTTTGGTCAACTCTAAGTATTTTATTTTTATTTTTTAAGACTCAAACAAATCAAGCTATATTGACAAGTTGCCAACTAGCAAGATTTTTCTACAAAGACAAAAACAATCATATTAACTCAATACATCATTGAAAAGTATATATTGTACTGTGGCCTTAATTTCCAAGGCAGTGTTTTGCCTTCGTGGCGATCTCTGCAGTGGTGTTGTGTGTGGTGGCCAGGTGTTGATTCAATTATTATGTTCATCAAACAGTGAACAAATACTTTGTTGGTTATTACACTATATACACAGGTTATATATAATTATCTGCATGTTTTGTTCACCATAACAAACCACTAAGTTGGTATTATGAGTCAAAAAGCAACGAGGAGTGACCGCCACACACCAGCCAGCCACTCGCTGTCACTCACTCCCTCAACACCTCACTCGCCCGCATTCTCCTCCCACCATACTGTTTTTGCTTTTATTCACTATATACAGACATTATATATAAGTATCTACATTCATGTTCACCATAACAAACCACTAAGTTGGTATGCTGAGTGGCAGTGGCAGCCAGTGGCAGCTCGCCACTGGCTGCCACTTCCTCGCTCAACTCACTTGACTCGCCCACATTCTCCTCCCACAATAAATAAATAATAAATAAATATGTTTATTCAGGTAAGGTACATACATACAAGTGATGTTACATTAATGGATTGATATATAGATAGAGCTAGTACATACAATGCCTAAAGCCACTATTACGCAATGCGTTTCGGGCAAGAAAAACATTAATATCTAGAACTTAATACTAATTGAGCATAAAGAATAAAAAGTGTTGAGAACAAATACAAATAAAGATAAAAAAAAAGGGGGAACATGACTGAAAAAGCACCACAAATACAATAGGTTGACAAACAGTGTTGATTAAAAAAAAAAATAACAGACATGGGTTGACAATAGAGGAGTGAGGTAGGTTACAGGGAATTTATTAGGTAGTGTTTAGTTTTTATCTTAAACTATATTTTATAACTAGTTTTATAGTTTATAACTATAAACAACAATACTGTTTTTGTTTTTATTCACTATATACAGACATTATATATAAAGTACCTACATGTTTTGCTCACCACAACTGTACAACAAAGTTGATATACCTGTAGTTAGTTCAGGCACTAAGAGACGTCGCCACACACAGTCAGCTGGCGGCTGCCTCCCTCACACATTCAAGGTCAGACGCACTAAAATTTCACCCCAACAATACTGTTTGTGGTGCTATTACCCTATACACAGACGTTATATACAAGTATCTACATGTTTTGTTCACCATAACTGTTCAACTAAGCTGGTATAATGCCCAAAGAGCATAGTGGCCACCCCTACCAACATGACAAATCATGCAGATGTTGGCACCCCATCACCAAATTGGCTTCTCCCCCACACTCCTTTTGCTGTTATTACACTGTATATACACGTTATATATAAGTACCTACATTCGTGTTCACCAAAACGAACCACTAAGTTGGTATGCTGAGTGGCAGTGCCAGCCAGTGGCAGCGCGCCACTGGCTGCCACCCTCACCTCACCTAACTCGCCACCATTCTCCTCCCACCCATACTGTTTTTTCTTTTATATACAGACTTTATATATAAGTATCTGCATGTTTTGTTTACCATAGTGAACAACTAAGCTGGTATAGTGAGTCCAGACAGTAAAAGGTGGTCACACACAGTCAGCAGACAATGCTACCTCCCTCCCCACCAAGATTACTCCTCCCACTACAGCGCTAATTATCACAACAATCCTGCTATTATCAGAATCCTGGTCATTTTTATCACAGTCAGGGGTCTTCTGTAATAATATCGCTAAATAATAGCATGAACATATATATTATGGCATTTTTAGGTGATGCTGTGGTCACAAGCTGAACAGCAGTGCTGTGAGCTCATGCTGTGTGCATCAGGCTTGGTGGTTCACTCAATACTGAGGCCCCTCACACCCAGGAATTTGGCCCACGATCTTTTTTTTAAAAGGCATCTGTTTACAAGAGCCCTGATGAAGGTGAGGTGAACCCCATGTATCCGCGGGCCGTTTAAATCTTGCGTAGTACTCCAATACATCATATGATGGGATGTGCAATTTATAGCAAGTCACTCAACCCATCATATGATGTGTTGCGCAACTTAAGGGTTAATCGACTGAGCTACGATATGGTCAAAAGGAGTTGAAACCGAAGTTCTACTTTACTTACTAGATCCTGCAGCCTCTCCGAGGCACAAACCAGGGTTTTACACAACTCCCCCCATGCACTCGAGCTATGTCAATAGGCCGTTCTCCCTCTTCACCCTTACTTCATTACACTTCATTACTTCACATTACACTTACTTCATTACTCCTTTTGACCATGTCGTAGCTCAGTTGATTAAGGCAGCGTCTGGGATGCTTTCGGACACAGGTTCGAATCCTCGTCACGGCCCTTGTGGATTTGTTCATTCGGCTGAGTGCTTTTTCTCTCTATCTCATGCTGTGAATACCATAACTAACATTGTGTTCACTGATATCTGAATGTTATACACATTAGTTATCACCGTCAGGATCATCTATAACACTATCAACGCAACATAATTTCAGTTACCGATTTTATTCATCATTAGTAATTGGTGCTGTTGCCCCTAGCTGCACAGCAGTGCTGTGCACGGTTCCTGTATGCGCCAACTTTGGTCGCTCTCTCAGTATTAAGGCTCTTGCAGCCAGCACGGATGCTGACGATTTTCTTTTAAGATTGTGTGTGTTTACAGGAGTCCTGAGACACAGAATGTGAGCCCCATGTACCCAAGGGAGTTTTGAATCGCTCCCTATACCTAAAAAGCCACATGGCACTCTGCACACCCTCAATCCAGCACCTCAAGGCACTCTGTGCAGCACAGTGGTTAAAGTCACATAGAATTTTTATCAACATGACTTGGAAGTTTAAAGGTGGTTTGGTCCGTAGAGCCACTATCAACTCTCATTACCCACCTTCAACTCGTACTAAGTGTCCCATATACAGTGTCGGATAAAACTGCATCCAATAAGTACCAGTACATCTTCAAATACTGGTGTACAGTACCAACACTATATACAGACATCATTGTTACCCAATTTGCCACTTCCAGAAGGTGGAAATGCATCAGTCTAGAGAAAAAGAACGACCAAGTACTATATTATAATACAGTATAGTAGATGAATATTATATATTAACCACTGCACTGCCCAATGCGCCTGTAGGTGCTTGACGGATGGTGCGCAATGTGCCTCAGGGATCTTATAGGTATAGCGTATAGAGTCAAAACTCCCGCAGCTACACGGAGTTCACATCAGCTTCCTCAGGGCTCTTGTAAACAGATGCCATTATTTTTTAAATATCATGGGCAACATTCCCAGGTATGAGAGCCTCAGTACTGAGTGAGCAACCAAGGCTGGCACACGCAGCATGAACTAACAGCGCTGCTGTTCAGCTTGTGACCACAGCATCGCCTAATAATGTCAAAATATATATGTAAGTAGTATTATTTAGCCAAGACAGTATTACAGAAGAGCCTGAGTGTGATAATGACTGTGTACAATGTTCAAATATTAGTGAATCAATGCTGTTCAAGATGTTCACAGCGCTAGCCACAGCATTATTTCATCCATCTAAGAATCTTTAAATGACTTATGTTCCTTTACAAAATAAACTTGGTAAATTATTCATTTACAGGATTTGGTGACCAGAATTGTGATAATAGCAGGATGGTGGTGATAATTAGCATTGTGGGAGGAGGAATTTTGGTGACAGAGGGAGGGAATCGAGGTAGCGTCACTGTGTGGCAGCTACTCTTGTTTGGGTTCACCATACTAGCTTAGTGGTTCTCTATGGTGAATACAAATGTAGATACAGCACTTATATATAATGCGTGTATATAGCGTAATAACAGCAATAGGATTATGTTGGGAGGAGCCATTTTGGTGAGGGAGGTGGCGTCGTACTCATCATACTTTTAAAATATCGCATTCATTCATTCATTATTTCAGCTTCAGTATAATATATTTATTATAATATTTATTATAATATTTATTATAATATTTATTATAATAATATTTATTATAATATTTATTATAATATTTATTATAATATTTATTATAATAATATTTATAATCGCTTTTACATATGTATGTAATAGCCACCTTTTTCAGCGGGCTGATGGCTCCCCACCACGAGTGTGGGAAATGGCAATAATAATGTTAAGATAATGTAGCTGTAGTTGCTCTATTTGAAAACATCCTGCTATATTTTGGGTGCAGTTTTATCCATTCTCTTGTGGTCTGCTACACGCTTTCCATTTCAACACCAAAAATTCTTACTCAAAGTTATTAAATAAATATCGAGCGTACATAGATATGTTTGTGCAACATACAATTACCCTTCAACCATGCATAGATATAGTAGCCTCACCCTGTATGAAACAAGATGCAAGAAATTCTAACTTATGCTCTTTTAGCTTAATCTTTAAGTTTCTACTCTACTTACCTCTTAGTTTCTAGAAGTCGTTTCTCCCTTGTGATTGTTTTCATTTCTGTGTCGAGGAACTTTCTCATGGGCTGGATAAAGCCCTGGACTGCATTGCTTATATATTCTCTCTCTACTAGACCAAGACGCTGCTCAGCCCCACCAACTTTTAGTAGTGCTGAGCCTGTGGAGGTCATCTAACTTTAACTGAGAAGTAACACCACTGTATTTTATATTAGCATTATTATTCCAGTTTCCAATCTCATGGAGAGATAAGGTTAAGAAAGAGAAAAGCAATAGAGAAAAAACAAAAACCTTCATAAAAGTATCCACTCAAGTCACTTAACATACTGCTTCCATTCAGTTTTTATTATTGCTATTTCATGTGTTGTTCACTTTAACACCCTGTTTTCTCAGATACTAAAACCATGACAGTGCATTCACTTCCAAAAAAAACAGTGTTGAATGTAATGAAATGCCATTTTCTGGGCGAGCCCCAGAGGCACCCTGAAACTATCTGAGCTGAAATGTGTTATATTAGTTTATGGTCATCAGTCACGGGAGTCCTTATGCCTACCGGGAAATACGAGCCAGAACCTGGCTCCCTCAGAGAGGCGCAGGGAGCAATGGCCTATGAGCACTTTACATTTGAAGTATGTCGTAATTGCCATCGACCGGGATAGCACCCAGAAAGATAGGCAAAACAAAACACACCACAATCTGGTGAAAATGGTGACCTACTTGTCAGAAATTCCGACATCAAATTACTAACGCCTGACATACCTAGTTAAAATCGTTATGTCGGGTACTTACTAATAATACTAAAATTACTAAATTTATCATGGAGATAAATTCCTGGGAGTCACCTAGTGACTCCCAGGAAATACAGTGGCACCTCGACTTACGATTGCCCCGACTTATGATAATTTCGAGTTACGATGTAAATTTCATAAAAAAATGCGACTCGACATACGATGGTGTCATTGACTAACGATATTTGTTGGTACACGTTTGGGTCAACCGAGCCCGTGGTTCCCAGTCACGCGGTCCGACCTGCCTCAGTTTACTACAGCTGCCTGCTTAGTGACAATCGCGCCTATAAGAAATTCCGCGTTTGTGGTGATTTTTTGCATTTTGAACATTAAAGTAATTATTATATATCATGCCATGAATCCCAGGAAAGTCAGTGGTAAGGCTCAACATATGAGATCCCATGTAAGGATGACCATAGAGCAGAAACAAGAGATCATTCGTAAATATGAAGATGGTGTGCGGGCTGTTGAACTGGCTAGGCAGTACAACAAATCTCAGTCAACGATATCCACCATACTGGCTAAGAAAAAGGACATTATAAGTGCTAATGTGGCAAAAGGCGTTGCCTTAACCTATTCAATGACACTGTGATGCATCATTACAGAAAAATGTTAAAACGAAGGGAAAAACAAATGTCTCTTGACAAATTTGTAGCGAGACAAACAAGCACTGAACCACAACCAGGTCCTAGTGGTATTCAGGCAAAACATAGGAGAGAGACTACCCCAGAGAAAACATCTCTGCCTGATGTGATAATGGAAGGGGACTCACCTTCCAAACAGTTACAACTCTCCTCCTTCCCCCTCATCACCATCTTCCATATGCCATCAAGAGCCCTCCATAAAGGTAAGATAAACTTAGGTACTGTATTGTAGTTAGAAAAAACATTGTATTCAGTATAAAATGTATTTGTATGTTAATATTTTGGAGGGTGGGGAACGGATTAATTCAATTCCCTTTATTTCTTATGGGAAAAATCGCTTCGACTTACGATATTCCGACTTACGATTTGTCTCTGGGAAAGGATTAGCATCGTAAGTCAAGGCCCCATTGTACTGGGAAATTGTTGCGTCAGCCAAAGAGCCGAGGTGCTTAATGTTTCTCCCAATGAATATAATATTTTCAATCTAAGAGTTAAAATATGAAGAAAAGTATTTATCAAAACTGGATATAATAATAAATTATGAATAAATAAGCCTCTTTCTCCTATAACTCATAATTAAATCTAGGAAAACGGGACGCGTCCAGGATGTATCGAGGGAGGAAGGGGCGGGCACAAGTGACGCCATGCCCCACCAGTGTGCACATGGCTCCCCAGACGCTCGGATGTTTTGAATTATTCATAATTAGCACGTGCATCTTCCCTGAGGTATGGGATAGAGGAATAACAGAAATTCTGCCCAACTAACGAGCTTTACAAACAGGGAAGTGTTGTTCCAAACAATGATAATAGATTGTAACATTGGCCAGTAGATTTAATTAATTTGTTGTTCGGTTACAACACGCGAGAAACACCTGGAACGTGTAAGCTCTGTTCCAACTGCCGATTAATCTCCTTAGAATATACAGTAGAACCTCAGTTGATGACTGCTCTACAAGACAAATTTTTTGGAACACGATGTCAAATTCATCGTAAAATTTGAATTGGTACTCGACTGTTTACTTGGAAGACGAAGTCTGTTCATATGCGTATGGGTCGAATGAGAGCATGGTGCTGGGGGCGCAGGGCAAGGCGCTCTCAGTGTGTTTACAAGTCTATCGGGTGTAGTGACGACTGCGGCCGCACTTTCAATTCTTTGTGAAAAATTTCATTGTTAGCCTGATTGTTTGTTTGTTTTTTTTAACATAAAAGTTCTTATTATATATCACACCATGGGTCCTAATATGGATGGTGAGAGAACTGGATGGATGGTGAGGGAACTGGATGGATGGATGGTGGGGGGAAATGGATGGATGGATAGGGGGGGGGGAAATGGATGGATGGGGGGGGGGGAACTGGATGGATGGTGGGGGGAACTGGATGGATGGATGGTGGAGGGGAACTGGATGGATGGATAGGAGGGGTGGATGGATGAATGGTGGGAGCACTGGATGAAGGGACTGGATGGAGGGATGGTGAGGGAACTGGATGGAAGGACGGTTTCCCTCAATCCCTCCAACTGGCTTTGGAAGGATCAAAGACACACTCATCAGCACTGAGTTGCTAAACATCACAAACAATATGGTGGAAGTGCTGATAATCAAAATAGAGACCTTAAATGTAGTTATTGTCCTTGTATATAAGTCACCAAAGGAAAATCATCAGCAGTTTAAAGACCAACTAATGAAAATAGAACACGGCTTAGAAAACCTCACAAATCCAGCCCCAAACATTATCCTGCTTGGGGATTTCAACCTACCACACCTGAAATGGAAGACCCTAGCTAGTATAGTTATATCAGAGAAAATTCCGGGAAGTAGCTTAAATGAACAATCACATGCAAATGACTTGCTATGGATGTGCGACAGATTTGCCTTAAACCAGCAAATAGTAGAACCAACTGGGAAAGAGAACACGCTGGACCTCATTTTCACTAATAATGATGAATTGATCAGAAACATAATGATTGCAAATACCTGTTACTCAGATCACAACTTAATTGAAGTTCCGACAAGCATGGGGAATAGACCTTCAAAACCAGTCCCGATTCCCGATGGAGGTGATTTCAGCAAATTCAACTTCAATAATAAACAGATAAACTTGGAGCAAATAAACCAAGACTTCACAGAAATAAACTGGGAAGAACAGCTAGAAAATGCAAACCTGAACCAGTGCCTGGAAAAAATAAGCTCAGTAGCACTAGAAATATGCTCAAGCTGCATACCCCTAAGAAAAAAGAGGAAGAGATGCAGATTGGAACGGGAACATTGTTCCATCTGTAGGCGAAGAAAACAAATCGCGGAACAACTTGAGAGTCGCACCCTATCTCAAGAACGGCAAAGAAAGTTAGGTAGAGAAATAGAAACAATTGAACTCAAGCTACAAGAATCATACAAAACCCAGGAGAGGCAAAGAGAGCAAAAGGCCATCAGTGAAATAGAGAGAAATCCAAAATATTTTTTCTCTTATGCAAAATCAAGATAAAAAACCATATCTAGTATCGGGCCCCTGCGAAAGGGAAATGAACTTTTCACAGATAACAACAAAGAAATGAGCAAAATACTGAGGAATCAGTACAACTGTTTTCAGCGAACCACTAAACACACTAAAGATTGATAACCCAAATGAAATTTTCATGGATACGATACCAACATCAAATCATATATTAGAGGTCACCCTATCCCCACTGGATTTTGAAGAAGCCATAAACAGTATGCCTATGCACTTTACACCAGGCCCCTGATTCTTGGAACTCTATATTCATCAAGAACTGTAAAAAAACACTATTGCAGACCCTTCACATTTTTTGGAGACAAAGCCTAGATACTGGCATTATCCCTGACATACTAATAACAGCAGAGATAGCACCACTCCATAAAGGAGGAAATAAGGCAGAGGCAAAAAATTACAGACCGATAGCACCAACATTACACATCATAAAAATCTTTGAGAGACTGCTCAGAAGTATGATCACAAAATACATGGAATCACAGCATCTCCATAACCCCGGACAACATGGGTTCAGATCAGGGCACTCTTGCCTGTCACAGTTGCTGGACCACTATGACATGACATTAGATGCCATGGAAGACAAACAAAACACTAATGTAATTTACAGAGATTTCGCAAAAGCTTTTGACAAATATGACCATGGTGTTATTGCACATAAAATGCACTCAAAAGAAATTACCGGAAAAATAGGCAGATGGATCTACAATTTCCTGATTAACAGAACCCAATGTGTAATAGTCAATAAAATAAAATCCAGTCCATCAACTGTGAAGAACTCAGTCCCCCAGGGTAATGTGCTTGCTCCAGTACTTTTTCTCATCCTCATATCGACATAGACAAGGACACAATGTATAGTACTGTCATTTGCAGATGACACTAGAAATTTTATGAGAGTAGACAACATAGAGGACACAGCAAACCTCCCATCAGATGTAAATCAGGTCTTTCTATGGGCTACAGAAAATAAAATGGTGTTTAACAAAGATAAGTTCCAGCTCATGCACTAAAGAAAAAATTAAAATATAAAAACGGAAACCACGTATAAAATGTAGTCAAATCATAACATAGAACGAATAGGCAATGTAAAGGCCCTTTTACAATAGCCCTTAAACTGCACAAAACATCACATGATGTCTTGAGTAACTGTCGATAAATTGCGCACGACATCATATAATGTTTTGGAGAACCGCACAAGATTTAAAAGTGCTGCGACTACACAAAGTTCACATCAGCTTCCTTAGGGCTCTTGTAAACAGACGCCATTTTGTTTTTAAATTGTGAGCAACATTCCCAGGTGTGAAAGCCTCAGTACTGAGTGAGTCACGAAGGCTGGCGCATGAAGCATGAGCACACAGCACTGCTGTTCAGCTTGTGACCACAGCATTGCCTAAAAATGAAAAAATAAATATGTAACTGGTATTATTTAGCGATGATAGTATTACAGACGACTCCTGACTGATAAAAATGACCATGATTTTGATAACAGCAGGATTGTTGTGATAATTTGTGCTGTGCATAGTATTGTGGGAGGAGTAATGTTGAAGGAAGGAGGGTGATAGCGTCGTTTGTCGAATCTGTGTGACCACCTATTACTGTTTGCACTCTGCATACCAGCTTAGTGTTTTGCTATGGTGAACACAAATATGGATACTTACATATAATATGTGTATATATAGTGTAATAACAGCAAAAGGAATATGTAGGGAGAAGCCATTTTGGTGAGGGAGGTGGTGTCATCTTGTTTAGAGGGTGGCCACTATGGTCTTTGGGCACCATATAAGCTTAGTTGCACAGTCATGGTGAACAAAACATGTAGATACATATATATATAACATGTGCATATAGTGTAATAACACCACAAACAGCATAGTTGAAAGAGGAATATTAGTGCACCTGGCCTTGAACCAATGAGGGAGGGAGGGAGCATCAGCTGTGTGTGGCGACTTGTGTCGGTCTGAACTCACCATACCTAATTAGCTGTACAGTTATGGTGAATAAAACATGTAAATACTTATATATAATGTCTGTATACAGTGAATAAACACAAAAATGGTATGGTGGGAGGAGGAAGTTGGCGAGTGAGGTGTTGTTGAGGGATGGAGTTTTGCTAAATGACTGGCTAGTGTGGCAGCCTATAAGCTTATAACCGCTTATAAGAGTTCTGCGCAAACATAAGTAGGGAAAAAAAACATTTAAAGGGAGCTAGGAGACTAGAAGAAATCTATACATAAGGCTAAGGAAATCACAGGTATCAAAAAAAGAAAAAGACTTTGAAGTAATAAAACCTACCGTATGCTGTTCCCGAGCCAAATTCGTTTCCAGCTTGTACCATATCCAAACCTAAATACTCCAAGTTACTAAGTCTATTTGGACGGCGTTTCTCAATCTTTTCAAAGATCATATCTTCTACTCTATTCCCTGAAATAAAGAAGATATCATAAAAACTGTAATCAGTAAAATAGCAAAGCTCATAATAAGTCATCTAATTGAAAGCAATTAATTATTCAGTTACAAAACGGGTATAATTTATGTAGCCAAACCCGAACAGAACTGCATACTGAGTTACATATTTACCTGGGTTAAGCATTTACATGTACCTGAATTTGTCCAAGGGCCACCATTATCTTGTGGCCTTGAAGGGGACAGGAAGCTGTCAGCTGTCAACTGTTTCCCCATTTTCATGGATTCTTTACTAGATTTTTTCCTGACTCCTAGGTACTTTTTGTTTTTCAATCTGTTGCATGGTAGTGTTGATGTGCATTGTTATGCCACACGGGGAGCCGGTAGTTGAGCGGACAGAACACTGGACGCGTGATCCTGTGGTCCCGGGTTCGATCCCGGGCGCCGGCGAGAAACAATGGGCAGTTTCTTTCACCCTGGTGCTCCTGTTACTAGCAGTAAATAGGTACCTGGGAGTTAGTCAGCTGTCACAGGCTACTTCCTGGGGGTGGAGGCTTGGTCGTGGATCGGGCCACGGGGACACTAAAGCCCCGAAATCATCTCAAGATAACCATCTCAAGATAACCATCTCAAGATAACCATCTCAAGATAACCATCTCAAGATAACCATCTCAAGATAACCATCTCAAGATAACCATCTCAAGATAACCATCTCAAGATAACCATCTCAAGATAACCATCTCAAGATAACCATCTCAAGATAACCATCTCAAGATAACCATCTCAAGATAACCATCTCAAGATAACCATCTCAAGATAACCATCTCAAGATAACCATCTCAAGACAACCATCTCAAGACAACCATCTCAAGACAACCATCTCAAGACAACCATCTCAAGACAACCATCTCAAGACAACCATCTCAAGATAACCATCTCAAGATAACCATCTCAAGATAACCATCTCAAGATAACCATCTCAAGATAACCATCTCAAGATAACCATCTCAAGATAACCATCTCAAGATAACCATCTCAAGATAACCATCTCAAGATAACCATCTCAAGATAACCATCTCAAGATAACCATCTCAAGATAACCATCTCAAGATAACCATCTCAAGATAACCATCTCAAGATAACCATCTCAAGATAACCATCTCAAGATAACCATCTCAAGATAACCATCTCAAGATAACCATCTCAAGATAACCATCTCAAGATAACCATCTCAAGATAACACATACAAGGTCTTGCACTTGTCAGTGTTAAAAAGCATTTGCCATTCTTCCAACAATTTGTGTTCATGTAGATCTTTTTAGTAAGGCCTCATTGTAATTTTTGCTTCCTACTTTACCACAGATCTTAATGTGATCTACAAAGTTGATAATGTGGTTTGTAATAGTCTCATCTATGTCACTAATATAAATAAAAAAAAATGGATCCTTGCAGTACCCCATTTCTCCAGTCAGATTAATCCATTAATCCATTAATCCATGTTTAATCCATTCTAGTACTTTACCATTTATTTCATGTGCTTGTAATTTCCTTGCCAGTCTTTCATGTGGTACTTTGTCAAAACCTTAAGAGAAGTCAATGTATATTACGTTTAATAGTGCAGACTGGCACAGATTCTAAATCAAGTCCGGAAAAGTTTCTGCCAACTTCACCATATAAAGACAGAAATCCAGAAAACCAGAGATTTTGCTGGATACTGCAAGACAGGAATGAGGCCATACTGCATTAATCCTGTACAGCAGTGGCTTGAGGTGTAATTACCTAAGTGTAGTTACAGGATGAAAGCTACGTTCGTGGTGTCCCATCTTCCCAGCACTCTTTGTCATATAACACTTTGAAATTAATGACAATTTTGGCCTCCACCACCTTCTCACATAACTGTTCCAACCGTCTACCCCTCTGTTTACAAAAATGAATTTTCTTATATTTTTCCAGCATCTTTGTTTTGTTAGTTTAAATCTATGGCCTCTTGTTCTTGAAGTTCCAGTTCATTGTGCTCCTTGCACAATGTTCTTAATATGATCCTTAGGTGATAGTTTTGTCTAGAACCACCCCTAGATCTTTTTCTTTATCAGAATTCTTTAAAGATTTCTCACATAATTTATAGGATGTGTGGAGTCTATGTTCTCCTATTTCACATTCCATAACATGGCATTTATTCACATTAAATTCCATTTGCCAAGTGGTGCTCCATATACTTATTCTGTCCAGGTCTTCTTGAAGGGTATGACAATCATCTAAGTTTCTTATCTTCCCTATTATTTTAGCATCATCAGCAAACATGTTCATATAATTCTGTATTCCATCTGGTAGATTGTTAATGTAGACAATGAACATTACTGGTGTAAGAACCGAACCCTGTGGTACTCCACTTGTGACATTTCTCCATCCTGATACATTGCCTCTGATTACTGTCCTCATTTTTCTATCAGAAATTTTTTCAATTTTTTTGAAGTGCAATTAAAGTGTTGAAGTGGAATGCTGTGCTCAGGTGCACATTCTCTCAGAACCTATGGTGAAACTCCATTTGGACCAACTGCTTTGTTCTTACTTAGCTCCTTGAGCATTTTTTCCCACTTCATCTCTAGCACCTCTATGTGCTCTATATTGTTCTCTGGAATTCTTGTTGTGTCTGATCCCCTGAAGATTTCATTTTGTATAAACACACTTTGGAACTATTCGTTTAATGTTTCACACATTTCATTTTCATTTTCCGTGAACCTGTTTCCCATTTTCAACCTCTGAATATTATCCTTTACCTGCAATTTGTTTTCATGAATTTATAGAAGAGGCCTGGTTCTGTTTTGCATTTGCCCACTATCCCTTTTTCAAAATTTCTTTCTGCCTCTCTCCTCACTGCCATGTAGTTGTTTCTTTTAAAATAAAAAACAACTTTTTTCATAGTAACTTTAAATATTTTTGCTTGCCAAGACCGTGTTTAGTAGCAGCAGCAGCAATCATCATGGAAGTATTAAGATGAAGAAGGTTGTGATAACACCACAGACAACCAAATACAGTTTACTCATGTCTTTTGTTGGCATGTTAATTAATTTGTCATCCAACTGTGCTAATCCATAAGTTGAAAACATGTATCAGAGTTTGATTCCAGCCATGATGGAGGAAGGGTGTATCTTGGAGCACTCTAGAAAAGTTGTGAACTTGTGATCCAGTGACTTTGATGGATGATGGATAATATGATTCCAATCTTTTTCAGGTAGCAATGACCAGGAGAAAAAACAGAAAACTGTGCACAGTGTGTTAAGGGATACTGACAGTGACGAACGATCAAAGTGGTGTAGTGATCGACAAGAGACGAGATCTGGGTTTCAAAGTTCTATACAAACTAAGCTGGAAAATCTCACCGGAAGGATGCAACCGGACCACACACACACACCCCAAGAGGCACAGGTTAATGGAAGGAAGTGGCTGTTATTTCCCTTGACATGTCAACTAACTTTTCATCAGAAGCTGGAGTGGACCGTTCAATTGGCCAAGGAATTTAGTGAATAGGAACCATTATTTAACCACCACACTGTGCACCTGGTTTCAGCAAAAACTTTCTTAAAGTTAACTTAAAATACATAAATTAATTCGCAGTAGCAACCAGCGATTGAATGACCTGTGCAATTGCTGCTGGAGCAAACCTGAATTGATGACATCATTGCCACTTTTCTCAATGCCACTACAGCCATTGTAAGTCTGTAGATGGCCACTACAACCATTGTAAGTTTAATTGTTTTTATCCCATGGTGTGGGAATGCATTTTAACAATATTAGAATGAAAATTTTTTCGATAATTTTTTACTCTGCACACGTGAGTAATGCGTCATACTGTATAAGGAGAGGCGTAACCAAAGGGTTAATTTGTCAAAGTGACAAGCAACTGCATATTGATCTGGGTTAGAAAAAATTGGAGTTACATATGTACCTTGATCAGAGAAATGTGGGAAATTACACACTATTTTTACCTGGGTTAGGAATAAGTACCGACTCTGCACCAGTCAATAATTTTTCCGTCCACTGTTTGGCCGACTCCGCCTGAAGAGACAGGGACTCAAAGTGGCCATCTAGCTCAGTCTTTTCTGCACTACCTATCTTCTCTTCTGTGTACTGAAACAATAAAATGGAACAATAATAAAGTGCAAGCGAGGCTAGATTATAATAGGATGGGTTTGGAAAGGATAAGTTTGCTGAGATGGTAGCAATAAGGCCCTGACAGAGTATAAAGATCAACAGAGTTATGTCACCAAAGAATCTTTTATGATCCTTGTTAATTTTTTAGTGTTGGTCACATTAACCTTAAATTACTATATTCCTATATATTCTGTTATGTTCCAAAGAAAATGTTACAAGAATGAGTTCAGTTGCTTTTCTAAACTACACATTGTGTTTCCATGCTGTTATTAATGTAAATAATCTACTGTACTATTGCTACATCAACAGACTCCTTAATGTAGTAGTCTATGCCGGTCATCTTTAAGTATGCCCCTTATGTGTAGTGGAAGCGTGTTGAACAGTCTCGGGCCTCTGATGTTGATAGAGTTCTCTCTCAGAGTACCTGTTGCACCTCTGTTTTTCAACGGGGGTATTCTGCACATCCTGCCATGTCTTCTGGTCTCATGTGATGTTATTTCTGTGTGCAGGTTTGGGACCAGCCCATCTAATATTTTCCACGTGTAAATTATTATGTATCTCTCCCGCCTGCGCTCAAGGGAGTACAGATTTAGGCTCTTTAGTCGGTCCCAATAGTTTAGATGTTTTACTGAGTGGATTCTAGCAGTAAAGGATCTCTGCACACTCTCCAGGTCAGCAATTTCTCCAGCTTTGAAAGGGGCTGTCATTGTGCAGCAGTACTCCACTCTAGAGAGCACAAGCGTTTTGAAAAGTGTCATCATCGGTATAGCATCTCTAGTGTGAAAAGTTCTTGTTATCCAACCTGTCATTTTTCTTGCAGTTGTGACGGCTATTTTATTGTGTTCTTTAAAGGTAAGGTCTTCCGACATGAGTACACCCAGATCCTTTACATTGCCTTTTCGTTCTATGTTATGATTTGCCTGAGTTTTGTACGTGGTTTCCGTTTTTATATTTTCATTTTTTCCATAGCGCATGAGCTGGAACTTATCTTCGTTAAACACTATATTATTTTCTGTAGCCCATAGAAAGACCTGATCTACATCTGACTGGAGGTTCGCCGTGTCCTCTATGTTGCCTACTCTCATGAAGATCCTAGTGTCATCTGCAAAGGATGATACAGTGCTAAAGGTTGTGTTCTTGTCTATGTCCGATATGAGGATGAGAAAAAGTACTGGAGCAAGCACAGTACCCTGGGGGACTGAGCTCTTCACGGTTGATGGGCAGGATTTTATTTTATTGAACACATTGGGTTCTGTTGGTCAGGAAATTGTAGATCCATCTGCCTATTTTTCCGGTAATTCCTTTTGAACGCATTTTATGTGCAATAACGCCATGGTCACATTTATCAAAAGCTTTTGCGAAATCTGTGTAAATTACATCAGCGTTTTGTTTGTCTTCCATAGCATCTAATGCCATATCATAGTGGTCCAGCAACTGCGACAGGCATGAGCGCCCTGTTCTGAAACCATGTTGTCCGGGGTTATGGAGTTGCTGTGTTTCCATGTATTTTGTGATCTTACTTCTTAGCACTCTCTCAAAATTTTTTATAATGTGCGATGTTAGTGCTATCGGTCTGTAATTTTTTGTCTCTGCCTTATTTCCTCCTTTATGAAGTGGTGCTATCTCTGCTGTTTTTAGTATATCAGGAATAACGCCAGTATCTAGGCTTTGTCTCCACAGAATGTGGAGGGCCTGCGATAGTGGTTTTTTACAGTTCTTTATGAATATGGAGTTCCAAGAATCCGGGCCTGGTGCAGAGTGCATAGGCATACTGTTTATGGCTTCTTCAAAATCCAGTGGGGATAGGGTGACGTCTGATATATGATTTGATGTTGGTATCGTATCCATGAAAAATTCATTTGGGTTATCAATCTTTAGTGTGTTTAATGGCTCGCTGAAAACAGTCGTACTGCGTCCTCAGTAGCTCGCTCATTTCTTTGTTGTCATCGGTGAAAGTTCCATCTCCCTTTCGCAGGGGCCCGATACAAGATGTGGTTTTTGATCTTGATTTTGCATAGGAGAAAAAATATTTTGGATTTCTTTCTATTTCACTGATGGCCTTTTGCTCTCTTTGCCTCTCCTGCCTCATGTGTATAAATAAGCATGTTAATGAAAAATATAAAAATAAAAGATCACACCTCTAGTTAATTTTTTACTATTTTAAGTTTTGCCCAAAATGCTTTGCATAATAATGGCTTCATTAGTATGTGTAACTCCTGTCCCTACAATTGTACATTATTATGTTCCTTTTAAACACATTCCTTTGAATAAACATTAATAGTATTAAGAGTTTATAGGTGCAGGAGATAAAAATACTTGCAGAGTGCCTCTGTAAACTACATACAGGTATTCATATACAGTGAATATATATAAGAATAGGGTAAAAACTTTGATGTATCTATTATGATCAACTACTCGAAACCAGAGTATAAATGTTGAGATACAGTTATAATAGCCCTAATAAATAAAATAAAAAAAAATAAAATGTTTATTTAGGTAAGGTACATACATACAATAAATTTTTACAAAGATTGGTTGACTTATAGGTAGAGCTAGTACATACAATGCCTAAAGCCACTATTACGCAAAGCGTTTCGGGCATAATACTTAAACTTGCCACCAACACTGGCTGTTGACAGGGATGCCAGAGTTGAACCACTATTGTTGGCCGAGCCACCAGTGTTGGCCGAGCCTCCAGTGTTGGCCGAGCCACCAGTGTTGGCCGAGCCACCAGTGTTGGCAAAGCCACCAGTGTTGGCAAAGCCACCAGTGTTGGCAAAGCCACCAGTGTTGGCAGAGCCACCAGTGTTGGCCGAGCCACCAGTGTTGGCAAAGCCACCAGTGTTGGCAAAGCCACCAGTGTTGGCCGAGCCAACAGTGTCGATAGTGCAACTAAAACGTTGGCAGCCAGCCCTGGCACAGTTACCTGCACTGCCCTGGTCAAAAACTGCCCAGCCTGCCCAGCAAGCTTCTTTAGATCCATGTTGGGTGTTGCTGGCGGCGGTGTAGTATTGGCTGGTGAGGGTGGCTGCTCTTCACTATTGACACTTTACTGTTTGCTGGGCGGCCCATAGACGGCGCCTCGCTCGTTCTGCAGACGACACTCGCCTCACACACCTGCTACTCTCGCACACCTGCTGCTCGCACGCACACACCTACTTTCACGCACACGCACAAAAGAGGGACCCGTGGTTTAATCAGAGATATAAGCTGGCAAAGCAACTAAGTACAAAGACAAGAAGAAACTACAAAAATAACAGGACACCAGAGAGAGCAGGTGGTAACTATCCACAGGTAATACAGCTAACTATCCACAGTCTCTGTACCTAACGCCTGCAAATTCCACTGATGTTAATGATATAATCCTTTCCCTTAAAACCAAGTCTAGTGCCCTTGAGGAGATACCAACTTTAATATAACTTTCCAGATATTCAAAAAAAAAAGCGAGAGTAATCCCTGTCCACAAATGTGGTGATCTCACAGATGTTAACAACTACAAACCTATATCAATCCTACCTAACTTGTCAAAAATATTTGAAAACTAATCCACAAGCAGCTTTACTCTTATCTAGCCAAACACAATATACTTAGCTCTTGTCAATATGGCTTCAGACCCAAAAAAAAGCACTAACGATGCACTTATTAGTATGATTAACTTGATTCATGCAGCTCTTGATAAAAATGAGTTCCCTATTGGGTTATTTGTGGACCTGCGTAAGGCTTTTGTCACTGTCAACCACCAAAACCTTCTTCTTAAATTACATCATTATGGAGTCAGAGGACACCCCCTGCAATACCTCAAATCTTACCTTACTGACAGGCTCCAGTATGTTTCTGTGAATAATTCAATTTCTCCCACCCTTCCCATCAACATCGGTGTTCCTCAGGGCAGCATACTTGGCCCTCTCCTCTTTCTCATCTACATTAATGACCTTCCAAATGCCTCCCAACACCTCAAACCAATTCTATTTGCTGACGACACAACCTACATTTACTCCAGTCCTGACCCCCTTGCTCTAAATGTCACAGTGAATACTGAGCTAAATAAAGTCCATCTTTGGCTAACTGCTAACAAACTCACCCTTAACACTGACAAAACTTTCTACATTCTGTTTGGCAATAAATCCTCTAATCAAATAAATCTCAGGATAAACAATACCCAAATTTGTAACAAAATAGGTGGCAGATTCCTTGGCGTTCTCATTGACCACAAGCTGAATTTCCAGGGTCACATTCTAAATATATAAAAAAAAGTTTAAAAAACTGTTTGCATTCTTTCTAAGATCAGATATGTACATCGCCCTGCCATGGTGACGCTCTATTACTCCCTCATCTATCCATATCTCAACTATGGTGTTTGTGCTTGGGGTTCTACTACCCAAAATCATTTACATCCTCTAATTACTCAACACAAAGCTGCTATTAGGACAATATCCAACTCTGGTCCCAGACATCACTCGGTACCCCTACTCAAATCTCTGAATATGTTAGATATTAAGTCACTGCACATTCTCTCATGTGTATTATACATATATAAAATGCTGAACTGTAATGCCAATCCTGACCTCAAAAGCTTCATTGAAGGTTGTAACAGAACCCATGAGCACCACACCAGAAACAAATACCTTTTTGATATTCCAAGAATACGACTTAATCAAACTAGAAATGCTCTACAAATCAAGGGACCCAGAATGTGGAATGACCTTCCCAATCATGTTAAAGATTGTACCTCTCTCAACCAGTTTAAGTTAAAAACTAAGCACTACCTAATAAATTCCCTTTAACCGACCTTACCCCTATATTGTTAACCCATGTCTGTTTTTTTAAACAACGCTGTTTGTCGACCTAATTGTATTTGTGCTGCTTTTTCTGCCATGTTCCCCCTTTTTTATTTTTATTTGTTCTCAACACATTTCATACTTTAATTAATCTCAATTAGTATTAAGTTTTAGTCTCTGTTTTTCCTGCCCGAAACGCTTTGCGTAATAGTGGCTTTAGGCATTGTATGTACCAGCTCTATCTATAAATCTATCAATTTTTGTATAACCTCTTGTATGTATGTACTTTACCTGAATAAACATCTATTTATTTATTATATTTATTTATTAAGTTACAAAAAAGACTCCAGATCTTTAACTCCTGCTATTGCATTGCTCTTCAACAAGTTTCTTGAACTCCAAACCTTTCCAGATATTCTAAAAAAGTGAGAGTAACCCCTGTCCACAGATGTGGTGATCTCACTGATGTTAACAACTACAGACCTATATCAATCCTGCCAAACTTGTCAAAAATAATTGAAAAACTAATCTACAAGCAGCTTTACTCTTATCTAGCCTTACTCTTATCTAGCCAAACACAATATTCCAAAGCTTCAGACCCAAAAAAGCACTAACAATGCACTTATTGTCTATTTGGAGGGGATTTCGGGAGCTGACCCACAGATGGCGCGGTCGTCACTGCTCCGTGCTCGGACGCTGGGCTCGGGTCCATAACATACGTGTTATCCAAAGTTTTTTAGTTAGTTTAGTTCATTTATTATGCACCCCACACCCAATATACTGCTTGTCTAGCTAATGACGTTTATGTTCCCAGAGGTGGCATGAGGAGGCGATTGTACTGAGGACAGTTCACGTTGGGCAGTCCAGAACTCCACTTTGTCCTGTGAGAGGACAAAGTGGCCGCCGTCGGTAGTAGCAGTGTGTTTGCTGTTGAACTTTTGTAGTGTTGTATGGACCAACGTACCCGGGATTTGGCTCAGAGGAGTTACGAGACGACATTATGGGTTTGTCTGCTGAGAAGTGGTGCTAGTGTGTTGCTAGAGACTTCTGCAAGGGTGTTAGCTACCCCTGTACGTGATTACTTGAGAACCTTGTCAGTGAGTTGCTGAAGCCCTCTGCCAGTGTGTTTCTGGAGAGTGGATGTTTGGTATTGGGACATCGTGACGATACGGTGTGTGGACTAGCCCATGTTGAAGGTGAACGCGCCGGTGATTACCATTGAGCGTGGACGACGTGTACTTGAAGATAGTGGACTCGCCAGGATTTGATGAACACTGCAGATCTATTGTGTGTCCTGGGTGAAAGCGACACAGTGTAAATATGTGTAGTTATAATTCTATAGATAATATATTGGTGAAGGTGTAATTGAGTGTTGTTTATTCCCCCCCCCCCCTTATGCTTTGTACTGTTACTTGCTACTACTAATTCTTGAGAAATTACCTTTGACTTGGAGTAGGATCATAGAAGAGGTTGTAGCAGAAATTAATATCTCCGGTTACCCTATTAAGATAGTGAATATGGTGAACAGACTGTGATGGCATCCTGTACCGAAACTGACCCGACTAATGGAGTCGGCCATCTTGATTTCTTCCATGGCAGTGAATCGGTGCAATGGGCACTGATATAAGGCTGCCGGGAAAAAGTACTTCCCGCGGAGGGACGAGTCAAGGGAAATCTAGTGCTGACACCAGCGTTGGACACCCCCACTGAAGTTTAAATCTGTCCCACTGGTGTGTCAAGAGGATTGGCGCCACATCTGTTGCCCAAGGAAGAAGGCTGAGGATACGTGAGAGCCAGGTAGCAGCAAAGGATATGGTGACAGAACTTCAGTGAGCTGGCGACACATGTGAACTACACACCACTGGAGATATCATTTCCTAGCTAAGTAATCTACCCTCCCCTTCCCCCTTGTTGAATAGGGGTTCCCAAGGAAACCTGTAGGAATTTCATTATATACACTCGTGTAGTAGGATATAGTGAAATTATACATGTGAATAGTTTCGTATAGTAGTTTTTATAGAAACTTTTTATTTTTATATATTTATATAAACTTTATATTTTATAAACTAGTAGTTTTTATAGAAACTATACATACGTTAGCATTAATGACGGTTGAGAGCGGCTGTAGACTGCAGATTTGATTGAGGCTATCCAAGATAAATCATTATTTATGTATTTCTTTGGTTAGTAATTGTCATTTTGGTTTTAAACGTTGCGTTTATATGTAGCTTCATTACGGTTATGCCACGACACACACTAATATATATATATATATATATATATATATATATATATATATATATATATATATATATATATATATATATATATATATATATATATATATATATATATATATATATATATATATATACATATATTCAGAAGGAGTCACACTCCTTCTGAAGATGTATTAATATACAAAAGTACTTGAGGAAATTCCTGTTTTAAATTTCCTCCGTGGTCTGACACTGTCACATTTTTAATCACGTTTATTTTCGTGATTTACACACACACTCCTTTTCCGGTACTGGTGTGACGTAGATCTTCCTCCCGCCACTGCTAATGTGTCGTATAGTACTAGATTATACCATTATACCCAGTCTCCCAATCTTTATGTACCCAATCTGAGCATCTTTACCATCGTGATCATTGCTGTCTTATATGTGCTGTCAATCTGCTGTATGGTGTCTATTAATCTTGTTTAAATTACCAATCAAGCTGTCAATGTAATCAATCAGAGCTTTAATATAACAATGTGCTTTAATATACTTACTAAGCTCTCTCATCTCATTTTTCTCTTGCAATGTATCTTTATCACTTATCAATTCTGATAGAAATTACCTACTTAAAATTATCTGTTAGATTAAGGACCTGCCCGAAACGCTGCGCGTACTAGTGGCTTTACAAGAATGTAAATACTGTACTATTCACTGTATTCTCACAAACCCAATGTACCTTCTTGTATATATATAAATAAATAAATTATACACTTGGGTGCCAAGTGTGTCAAGAACTAGCTGCCCTAGACTATATGAAGGGGACATAGACAGGCTATTTAACACATGGGGACACAGATGGAAACTGAGTGCCCAAATGAGCCACAGAGATATTAGAAAGAACTTTTTTAGTGTCAGAGTGGTTGACAAATGGAATGCATTAGGAAGTGATGTGGTGGAGGCTGACTTTACACACAGTTTCAAGTGTAGATATGATAGAGCCCAGTAGGCTCAGGAATCTGTACACCTGTTGATTGACGGGACCAAAGAGCCAGAGCTCAACCCCGCAAACACAACTAGGTGAGTACACACACACACACACATTAATTATATATATATATATATATATATATATATATATATATATATATATATATATATATATATATATATATATATATATATATACATAGGAAGGGAGTACCACCTCTAGCTGGAAGAAGGGGGACCCATAGCCTCGGAGGAAACCACGCATAACGCATTAGAGGGAATGTTTAGATCCCCTCCAATACAGTTTCTGTGTGCTTTTCTCCTACCACCCCCTTCCTTGAATATTTTTTGTGCTTTATTATGCATTTGATGGTTACAAGATATACATGGGTTGATACAAAAATAATAATGCAAAAAGGTGCTTAAAGGTTATGGATCTCTTGAAGAACACAACAATGGGAAACATTGATGAATGTCACAGACGGGTTCGATCATTGTTGCAAGTCAAACACTTCTTCATATATATATATATATATATATATATATATATATATATATATATATATATATATATATATATATATATATATATGCGCGAACAAGCCTGAATGTTCCCAGGCATATATGCAACTAACAACTCACACCCCAGAAGTGACTCGAACCCATACTGCCATGAGCACTTTGCAACTGGTGTACAGGACCCCTTAACCACTTGACCATCACGACCAGACAAAACTTCTTTCGAGTCACCTCTGGGGTGTGAGTTTTCAGTTGCATATATGCCTGGGGACCATTGGCAATTGTGTTCCTCACGTGTGCCCCAAAGAATGAGGTGATTTGATAAAATACCATGCCCAAGATTACCATCAGAGTGCCGGAGGGATGATGGAGAATTAGCCTCGGCTACCATCATCTTTTGTCCGGTCGTGATGGTCGAGTGGTTAAGTGGACCTGTACACCAGTTGCAAAGTGGTCTTGGCAGTATGGGTTCGAGTCACTTCTGGAGTGTGAGTTTTCAGTTATATAATATATATATATATAATATGTGTGTGTGAAAGCCTGACATTCTTGGGTACTAGCCACGTGAGTACATGAATAAAGATAAAATGAAATCGGGGAACGTAGCCTCGGTGTTGAAATAATTTCTTCCGCGCTGGACGCAGGTGAGAACCCCAATGATCACAGTGGTTGGATAACCGGGTGTCTGAAGTAAACACCAGCCATTCCTTGACATCTGCCGCTCTACCTCCCGCTCTCTGGGGACAGAAAGTAGCCTTGTGAGTTTCCCAGAGGTTCTGCGATCGAGGTCCTTTTGTTTTGAGGCCAGTGTACACGGGTTAAGCGCCGACTTCACGGGAAAATGAGTACAGAGCCGACTGTAAGGATACTGTAAAGAGAGCTCTCTTTACAAGAGCACCTCAAGGTACAGTATCACCGGTAGAGCTTGACGAGGCTCTGCCCTTTGTCTTCCATTCCACAATACATACATGTGACGATTCGAGAGAGACCTGGAAGCGGACGTAACACCAAATCTAACTCCTGAGGCACATAAATCGGATATCGACAGCAGCGTACTCTACGCTGGCAAAAGTTAGATCATTCAGAAACCTAAGTAAGGAGGCATTTAGGGCGCTTTACACTGCCCACGTGAGACCAGTCTTAGAGTATGCCGCCCCATGATGGAGCCCCCCACCTGAAGAAACACATAAAGAAACTAGAAAAGGTTCAGAAATTGCGACGAGGCTCGTTTCAGAGTTACGAGGGATGGGGAATGAAGAGCGACTGAAGGAACCGAATCTGACGACACTAGAAAACAGGAGGGAGAGGAGGGATATGATAAAAAACGAAGCGTTTCTTGCCCGAAACGCTAAGCGTATTAGTGGCTTTAGGTATTGTATGTACTAGCTCTGTCTATAAATCAATCAGTATGTTTGTAACTCTGCATCTATGTACTTTTTCTAAATAAAATATTATTATTAGTATTATTATTAGTATTATTATTAAACATATCAGATACGTAGGGGGAATGACAGTGTAAATAAACGAAATAAAACGGACGAGACAAAACACTGAATACTGACAGAACAAGGGGACATGGGTGGAAGCTGGAAACTCAAATGAGTCACAGAACTAAGGAACTATCAGGGGAAAGCGCCAAGCCATTACTATTATTTAGCACTGGGAAGGGATCAGGATAAGGATTTGGGATGGGACAGGGGAAAGGAATGGTGCCCAACCATTTGGACGGTCGGGGATTGAACGCCGACCTGCATGAACGGGACCGTCGCTCTACCGTCCAGCCGAAGTGATGTTGTGAAGTTTTCTTTTAGTGTGAGAGTAGTGGGAAACTGGAATGAACTTTAAGGAGCAGGTTGTGGAAGCAAACACTATTCATAATATTAAAACTAGATATGATAGGGAAATAGGACATGAGTCATTGCTATAAACAGCAGTTTCCCTAGAAAGGCGGGGTCCAAGAGTCAATGCTCCATCCTGCAGGCACAAATAGACGATTACATACATATACATACATACAATAAAGTACAATGAGTTGAGAGTACACCCATTGGTGATGAAGTGCAAACCACTAACATGCATAGTTTCAGGCTGATCAGATAGTAGAAAATGTCATAAATGTGGTGTATGGTTGACGCAACATAACGTGTCTGGCATCCCCGGGCGGGGTGTTCCGTGAACATGTATCAGGGATACGTTCTCGTGTACTGGTCTGCACCCGCTGCCCTCCATGACTAGCGTCGACGCCACACTCCAAGGCCACGGCACGGCACTCCCTCGGCATCGGTTCTCACGCACACAACCATGGCTCTCCTCCTCCAGTCCCTGCTTCTACAGCAGCACCTCTTAAGTCATCACATCCTAAAAGACCAGTTCCTCATTCCCAGCCTGCTGTTGACACTAAACTTTCCTCAAACACCAGAGGATTCGTTAGGGCATCCACCGACAGGCTACGATGATGAACAACATCCACAGATGTCTAATATTACCAGGGTGTGGCCCTCAAGAACCCAGCAAGACCCTAATACGCTGGAGATTGGCAACAGGTTCCCGAACAAGGAAGACCTTCAGGTGACCATGATGGCCAACCAGCTGGCCATCGCCCAGCTCAGCCAGGTGGTGCTGGGCCTTTTCGGTCCCCGCCTTTTCTCTGCCAATCACTCCAGGTGGACCCCTACACTAGGTATGTTGATTCTCTTCTTTAGTTCATTTTATCCTCACCAATCTCTTATGCAAGAGTTGAAGTTAATAATGGAGAGTTGTAAATTGGAAAACAAATCAAGTTGAGATTAGACTTAAGTAGAGACGTTACACCAGCGGGGCTTCATGAGGTCTTTGATAGTCCTCGACATGCTGAGGGCGAGGCTTGGTGATTGTTAGAGTCTTCACTCACTCTACCTGCCTACCTTGTGGCTTCCTTCTGCTGGTATATATATATATATATATATATATATATATATATATATATATATATATATATATATATATATATATATATATATATATATATATATATATATATATATATATATATATATATATATATGACAATGTCAGACCACGGAGGAAAAATGAAACAGGAAATTTCCTTAAGTACTTTCGTATATTAAATACATCTTCAGAAGGTAATTTTTCCTCCGTGGTCTGACATTGTCACATTCTTAATCACGTGTTTATTTTCGTGATATACACATATATATATATATATATATATATATATATTATTAAATATGACCGAAAAAGTAAGATTAATAATTCTAACACGAATTTTCTCAATCTTTCGTACATTACGCTTCACTGTTGGAGGTAAATCAAAAATCAATTCTCCAAAATTCATTTTTATTTCTAGTCTGACGCGACACGGGCGCGTTTCGTAAAACTTATTACATTTTCAAAGACTTTAGTTCACAAATACACAACTGAATAGAACTTACGTATCTCCGATTTTATATCTACATTTGAGTGAGGTGGAAGGGGTGATGTGGCATTAACACAAGACAGAACAAAATGTGGTATTAATAGGGTATTAATTTCATCAACACAAGACAGAACAAGGGTATTAATAGGGTATTAATTTCATCAACACAAGACAGAACACGAAACAATGGATATTGAATAGAAGTGTTTGTAGAAAGCCTATTGGTCCATATTTCTTGATGCTTCTATATTGGAGCGGAGTCTTGAGGTGGGTAGAATATAGTTGTGCAATAATTGGCTGTTGATTGCTGGTGTTGACTTCTTGATGTGTAGTGCCTCGCAAACGTCAAGCCGCCTGCTATCGCTGTATCTATCGATGATTTCTGTGTTGTTTACTAGGATTTCTCTGGCGATGGTTTGGTTGTGGGAAGAGATTATATGTTCCTTAATGGAGCCCTGTTGCTTATGCATCGTTAAACGCCTAGAAAGAGATGTTGTTGTCTTGCCTATATACTGGGTTTTTTGGAGCTTACAGTCCCCAAGTGGGCATTTGAAGGCATAGACGACGTTAGTCTCTTTTAAAGCGTTCTGTTTTGTGTCTGGAGAGTTTGTCATGAGTAGGCTGGCCGTTTTTCTGGTTTTATAGTAAATCGTCAGTTGTATCCTCTGATTTTTGTCTGTAGGGATAACGTTTCTATTAACAATATCTTTCAGGACCCTTTCCTCCGTTTTATGAGCTGTGGAAAAGAAGTTCCTGTAAAATAGTCTAATAGGGGGTATAGGTGTTGTGTTAGTTGTCTCTTCAGAGGTTGCATGGCTTTTCACTTTCCTTCTTATGATGTCTTCGACGAAACCATTGGAGAAGCCGTTATTGACTAGGACCTGCCTTACCCTACAGAGTTCTTCGTCGACTTGCTTCCATTCTGAGCTGTGGCTGAGAGCACGGTCGACATATGCGTTAACAACACTCCTCTTGTACCTGTCTGGGCAGTCGCTGTTGGCATTTAGGCACATTCCTATGTTTGTTTCCTTAGTGTAGACTGCAGTGTGGAAACCTCCGCCCTTTTCCATGACTGTTACATCTAGAAAAGGCAGCTTCCCATCCTTTTCCATCTGAAAGTGAAACGCAGCACGGAACTCTGCTCAAATGCCTCCTTCAGCTCCTGCAGATGTCTGACATCAGGTACCTGTGTAAAAATGTCGTCAACATACCTGCAGTATATGGCCGGTTTCAAGTTCATGTCGACTAAGACTTTTTGCTCGATGGTACCCATGTAGAAGTTTGCAAACAGGACACCTAGGGGAGAACCCATGGCGACCCCATCTACTTGCTTATACATGTGCCCATCCGGGCTCAAGAAGGGTGCCTCTTTAGTACAAGCTTGGAGTAGTTTCCTCAGAATATTTTCTGGTATGTCAAGAGGAGTACAGGCTGGATCACGATACACTCTGTCGGCTATCAAAAAAATACTATAAAACTATATACTATATAGTTTTATAAACTATAAAACTATAGTTTATAAAAAACTATATAGTTTATAGGCTACTATAAAACCAGAAAAACGGCCAGCCTACTCATGAGAAACTCTCCAGACACAAAACAGAACGCTTTAAAAGAGACTAACGTCGTCTATGCCTTCAAATGCCCACTTGGGGACTGTAAGCTCCAAAAAACCCAGTATATAGGCAAGACAACAACATCTCTTTCTAGGCGTTTAACGATGCATAAGCAACAGGGCTCCATTAAGGAACATATAATCTCTTCCCACAACCAAACCATCGCCAGAGAAATCCTAGTAAACAACACAGAAATCATCGATAGATACAGCGATAGCAGGCGGCTTGACGTTTGCGAGGCACTACACATCAAGAAGTCAACACCAGCAATCAACAGCCAATTATTGCACAACTATATTCTACCCACCTCAAGACTCCGCTCCAATATAGAAGCATCAAGAAATATGGACCAATAGGCTTTCTACAAACACTTCTATTCAATATCCATTGTTTCGTGTTCTGTCTTGTGTTGATGAAATTAATACCCTATTAATACCCTTGTTCTGTCTTGTGTTGATGAAATTAATACCCTATTAATACCACATTTTGTTCTGTCTTGTGTTAATGCCACATCACCCCCTTCCACCTCACTCAAATGTAGATATAAAATCGGAGATACGTAAGTTCTATTCAGTTGCGTATTTGTGAACTAAAGTCTTTGAAAATGTAATAAGTTTTACGAAACGCGCCCGTGTCGCGTCAGACTAGAAATAAAAATGAATTTTGGAGAATTGATTTTTTATTTACCTCCAACAGTGAAGCGAAATGTACGAAAGATTGAGAAAATTCGTGTTAGAATTATTAATCTTACTTTTTCGGTCATATTTAATAATATATGTCTACAGGAAAGACTGCTACCAAAATATACTAATATATATATATATATATATATATATATATATATATATATATATATATATATATATATATATATATAACGTATATATATATGAATATATAATATATGAATGAATCTTAATGCAATTTGAATACAAATTTATTAAATTTTCTGAAGTGACGCAAGTTTCTTTTTCAACACCTCCGCCCATTTCCTGCCCCGCCACCGCCCGTCTCTTGCACCGCCGTCTCCGGCAACCTTCTAAGGAGAGGTGACCCGGGCCTTCTCTGCTATACGAGGAGAAACAGGTTAGCATTCGCGTGTTTACACACACACACACACACACACACACACACACACACACACACACACACACACACACACACACACACACACACACACACACACACACACACACACACACACCTAAATGCAAGGTCATGAAACTAGGCGGTGGAAAAAGGAGGCCAGACACAGGATACCGAATGGGAAATGAAGTACTTAATGAAACGGACAGAGAGAAAGATCTAGGAGTTGATATCACAACAAACCTGTCTCCTGAAGCCCACATAAAAAGAATAACGTCTGCGGCATATGCGAGGCTGGCTAACATCAGAACAGCCTTCAGGAACCTGTGTAAGGAATCATTCAAAACCTTGTACACCACATATGTAAGACCAATCCTGGAGTATGCGGCCCCAACATGGAGCCCGTACCTTGTCAAGCACAAGACGAAGCTGGAAAAAGTTCAGAGATATGCCACTAGGCTAGTCCCAGAACTAAGAGGCATGAGTTACGAGGAAAGGCTGCGGGAAATGCACCTTACGACACTGGAAGACAGAAGAGTAAGGGGAGACATGATCACTACCTACAAAATTCTCGGAGGAATTGACAGCGTAGATAAGGATAAACTTTTTAATACGGGTGGTACGCGAACAAGGGGACACAGATGGAGACTGAGTACCCAAATGAGCCACAGGGACGCTAGAAAGAACTTTTTCAGTGTCAGAGTAGTTAACAGGTGGAATGCACTAGGAAGTGATGTGGTGGAGGCTGACTCCATACACAGTTTCAAATGTAGATATGATAGAGCCCAGTAGGCTCAGGAATCTGTACATCAGTTGATTGACAGTTGAGAGGCGGGACCAAAGAGCCAGAGCTCAACTCCCGCAAGCACAACTAAGTGAGTACAACTAGGAGCCTTAAGCTACCCAAAAGGTGGCACGGGCATGAATAGCCCGTAATCATCAAATGCGCTATCAGTCTTGAATTTAAGCACGACGATTTCGTAACAGTTGGATACCAAGTGGATGGTCCAAACGGATGTGCAGTGCCTCAAGTGTTATCGTTGCTACACTAGCATAATTTGCCGGCTGAGAAAACTCCATGCTGGCAGACGGAGACCTCATTAATGGAGACGTTGTGTAGCCCATTGTACTACACACACACACACACACTACTCGACACCAGCAGGACACAACTACTGCTGAACACAAAGTGGCCAGCACCTGAACCACCTAGTTGTAAGTCTTAGTTTATAAGTTTTCCCCCCCCACATGTGGGGAAACCCTGTGCGTATTAGTGGCTTCAGGCATAGTATATACTTGTAATACCTAGAAATCCTAATTTGTTCTTGTTGGAGTACATTGTGTATGTGTGCACTTTTCCCTAAATACATATTATTAATATTAGTGGAGTGACAAGGGGGCCACCGTGCCAGGAGGCGCCCCCGGCGGCAGTCACCGCTTGACTCCCTCAGACCCGAACATCAGCCACATGGATGTGAGGAAACATTTCTTCAGTGAAAGTACAGTGAAAGAGTGTAACCAGCTACAAGGGGTAATATTAGACTCTTCCTCCGTCTAATAACTTTAAAAGCCACATGACAAGGAGCAAAAGGGTCGCAAGTATTCAAAGTAGTTAACCGACAGATGAAATGGCGAGCCCCGGGAGCTGAAGTTTGGTCTCGTAAACTTTAATAACTAAGAGCACAATACACACATTTCTCCTCACTTGGTGTTATTAACTTATTACAACAATTATAATAACAATGTGAAGTTGTTTATGGAGCCTGTGTACGTGTGTGTGTGTGTGTGTGTGTGTGTGTGTACACGTTCATGTCTAAAATAATGGGGGAACATTTGACAAGCCACCGGCTTCCTGCCTCTGTCGAAGCCACGAGAGACGATGGGTGTCAGGTAAATTCTGATAAATAAAGTTGCTTGTCTAAATATATTACAATCGGCATGGAGGTACATGTGTGCATACCTATCATAGCAGCAGCAGGAACTAAGCGCGGCCTCTCTCTCTCCGTGTCCTCCAGGCAGCCGCCACAAGCCCGCCAAGAACGTCGCTCAGCCAGGTAATGTTGTCGTAGTGTCGTATACTTGGCACAGTAGCAGGTTGTCTTAATCATATATATCAGATGAAATAAAGCATGACATGAACAGTTAGTGAATGAGGGCGGTGGGTGGCGGGTGCGTGGTGTCTCCAGGACAGTTCCCGTGGCTGGTGAGTGTGCAGGTGACCAACTTCTACGACGCCTCCTACCACCTGTGTGGCGGCACCATCCTCTCCCCGCGCTGGGTCCTCACAGCTGCCAGCTGCCTCGACGGTGAGAAGGCTTCCTCTTTGCAGGTGAGGCACCACCACACCACCTCATGACATACTCAGGGAGTAGTGGTGAGGGAGAGAGCTAGGGGTGAGGGAGAGAGCTAGGGGTGAGGGAGAGAGCTAGGGGTGAGGGAGAGAGCTAGGGGTGAGGGAGAGAGCTAGGGGGGGTGGTGAAGCAAGTGAGCACTCAACAAAGGTGGAGAGGCCTTACAAAGAGATCTCCATGAGCTCCATAACTAACTGGAAGATTGGCAGGTGATTTTTAATATGGAGAAATGCAAGACCTTTGATGTAGAACTTAACAATGCACATCACAGCTACCAAATAGTCATCCACGTCCCACGTCATTTATATGACGTCGGCGTGGGTTGGGGCCTGGTGGCTGAGTGGACAGCGCACGGGATCCATAATCCTAGGGTCCGGAGATCGATCCCCGGCGATGGCGGAAACAAATGAGCAAAGTTTCTTTCACTGATGTCCCTGTTCACCTAGCAGTAAATAGGTACCTGGGAATAAAACAGCTGTTACGGGCTTCTTCCTGTGTGTGTGTGTGTGTGTGTGTGTGTGTGTGTGTGTGTGTGTATTCACCTAGTTGTGCTTGCGGGGCTTGAGCTCTGCTCTTTCCACCGGCCTCTCAAGTGTCAATCAACAGTTAGTAACTATTGACTAATTCCCTTTTTTATTGTGTGTACGTGGTGCTTGGGGCAGGTGGTGGCCGGGGAGCTGGACATGACCCACCAGGAGGGCGCCGAGCAGAGCGTCCCTGTCACTCGCCTCCTGAAGCACCCCCACTACACCTAGTGAGTAGCCTGGCTCCTCTTGGACTACCCCACTACACCTAGTGAGTAGCCTGGCTCCTCTTGGACTACCCCACTACACCTAGTGAGTAGCCTGGCTCCTCTTGGACTACCCCACTACACCTAGTGAGTAGCCTGGCTCCTCTTGGACTACCCCACTACACCTAGTGAGTAGCCCGGCTCCTCTTGGACTACCCCACTACACCTAGTACAGTAGCCCGGCTCCTCTTGGACTACCCCACTACACCTAGTGAGTAGCCTGGCTCCTCTTGGACTACCCCACTACACCTAGTGAGTAGCCTGGCTCCTCTTGGACTACCCCACTACACCTAGTGAGTAGCCTGGCTCCTCTTGGACTACCCCACTACACCTAGTGAGTAGCCTGGCTCCTCTTGGACTACCCCACTACACCTAGTGAGTAGCCCGGCTCCTCTTGGACTACCCCACTACACCTAGTACAGTAGCCCGGCTCCTCTTGAACTACCCCACTACACCTAGTACAGTAGCCCGGCTCCTCTTGGACTACCCCACTACACCTAGTGAGTAGCCTGGCTCCTCTTGGACTACCCCACTACACCTAGTGAGTAGCCTGGCTCCTCTTGGACTACCCCACTACACCTAGTGAGTAGCCTGGCTCCTCTTGGACTACCCCACTACACCTAGTGAGTAGCCCGGCTCCTCTTGGACTACCCCACTACACCTAGTACAGTAGCCCGGCTCCTCTTGGACTACCCCACTACACCTAGTGAGTAGCCTGGCTCCTCTTGGACTACCCCACTACACCTAGTGAGTAGCCCGGCTCCTCTTGGACTACCCCACTACACCTAGTACAGTAGCCCGGCTCCTCTTGGACTACCCCACTACACCTAGTACAGTAGCCCGGCTCCGCTTGAACACAACCAAGATAGTTTATTTTACTTACAAGTTCCGTGATATATTTATCATAAGGGCTCAACAATATTTGCCACTGTTTACAACGTAATTCGTAATATGTACATTCTGTAGTATGTAGAAATAATAATAATAATAATAATAATAATAATAATAATAATAATAATAATACACAGAGAAATCACATTAACGTGATGTTTCAAAGGACAAATCCACAGAAGCCTTGATGAGGGTTCGAACCTATACATTGAATGTTCCTAGACGCACTCTAGTTAACTGTACCACGACATGGTTAAAATAATAGCAACCCGGAGTGCTATTGCACCCACAAGGGTCCCGAGGCTCTTACTAAAGCTTAACATGCATGGGGAAATTGTGTGAAACCCCGGTTAGGCTTCCACTTAAGCCTAACCAGGATTTTGTTTTCCTTTGTTTTCGTGTACAGCTGGGAGACGCCTTACAAGAACGACTTGGCCCTCCTGCAGCTGGTGGAGCCCCTGGTCCTCGGTGAGCAGGTCAAGGTGGCCGCCCTCCCCTCGCTGGCCTTCCTACCTTCCACAGGTAAGTTATCTTCACCACTACAGGTCGACTGTAGTCCCAACACTGTACCTTGTACTCTCTGGGGCCCTCACACCCACCCTACAGTACTGTGACCAACACTGTACTCTCTGGGGCCCTCACACCCACCCTACAGTACTGTGACCAACACTGTAGTCTCTGGGGCCCTCACACCCACCCTACAGTACTGTGACCAACACTACTCTCCGGGGTCCCTCACACCCACCCTATAGTACTGTGACCAACACTGTACTCTCTGGGGCCCTCATTCCCACCCTACAGTACTGTGACCAACACTGTACTCTCTGGGGCCCTCACACCCACCCTACAGTACTGTGACCAACACTGTACCTTGTACTCTCTGGGGCCCTCACACCCACCCTACAGTACTGTGACCAACACTGTACTCTCTGGGGCCCTCACACCCACCCTACAGTACTGTGACCAACACTGTACCTTGTACTCTCTGGGGCCCTCACACCCACCCTACAGTACTGTGACCAACACTGTACCTTGTACTCTCTGGGGCCCTCACACCCACCCTACAGTACTGTGACCAACACTACTCTCCGGGGTCCCTCACACCCACCCTATAGTACTGTGACCAACACTGTACTCTCTGGGGCCCTCACACCCACCCTACAGTACTGTGACCAACACTGTACTCTCTGGGGCCCTCACACCCACCCTACAGTACTGTGACCAACACTGTACTCTCTGGGGCCCTCACACCCACCCTACAGTACTGTGACCAACACTGTACTCTCTGGGGCCCTCACACCCACCCTACAGTACTGTGACACCCATCTAGACTAATTAGTATGGTTCCCCCTTATCGTAAACAAGAAGCATGTTAGGTTTATCAATGTCATATCCCTAGGCCAACGACTGAATTCCTGCAGAAGGCAGCTCACAACAGTTGCCTAACTCCCAAGGTATCAATTTACTGCAAGTGAACAAAGGCATCGGGTGTAAGAAAACCTGCCCAAGCGTCTCTCCCTCCGTGGGAATCGAACTAGGGACTTTTCGATTGTGTTTCATTCCTTATACGAGAACTTGGCTTCACTTTACGGTAATGTGAGGTTGTGTGTGTGTGCAGAAATATGGTGTGATGTTGACGAGGTTAAACCGCTGCCAAATGATGTTGATGAGCGGGTTTTCTTCCTATTGGGGAGTGTTGTACATGCTGCTATGGCGGTGTGTCCACTCACAAGATGAGTGGCGCTGCCCAATAAACTCGCCCCTCGGGGCAAAATTTAAATTTAAAATGAGGTGTTGGTGTTGCAGTTGGTGAGTGTCGTGAGGCGGGGTGGGGTGTGAGTGAGGAAGGAGCAGCGGGCTCCAGGATCCTCATGTTCGTGGACGTATCCCTCATGCTCCGGCAAGACTGTCATGCAGCCTACCCAAGCCTCGGAGACAGTGAGGTGTGTGCCGGCCCCGGAGGTGCTGGCTCCTGTGTGGTGAGTACCCGCCTCTATCTTACCTGTCTTCACACTCTATCATACAACAACATTATAAATACATTTAAAATATTTGTATTAAAGAATCCTCAGAAACAAGTGGGACCTTTGAAAAGTCGCCGGCTTCCTGTCCCCGTCGAGGCCACTAGTGACTCTCAGGCAAATTATGACTAGACTGTTAAATATCGTTATATAAGAGTATAGTTGTTTTTGTCATATATAATATTTTGTTGATGATGAATCAATGTGAAGTGACACTTGCAGGGTGACAACGGCGGGACGTTGATGTGTGTGACCAGAGACGGCAGGACCCTGAGCGCCGTCATGTCCTGGCGTGAGGGCTGTGCCCGCCCCGGCAAGCCCGCCGTCTATATGGATGTTGCCAAGTACCTCCCATGGATCCTCAACACTACTGGCCTGTAGCCTGTGTTGTGATCACTGTCACAACACTGGTGGGGTGTAGCCTGTGTTGTGATCACTGTCTCAACACTGGTGGCCTGTAGCCTGTGTTGTGATCACTGTCTCAACACTGGTGGCCTGTAGCCTGTGTTGTGATCACTGTCACAACACTGGTGGCCTGTAGCCTGTGTTGTGATCACTGTCACAACACTGGTGGCCTGTAGCCTGTGTTGTGATCACTGTCACAACACTGGTGGCCTGTAGCCTGTGTTGTGATCACTGTCACAACACCACTGGCTTGTAGCCTGTGTTGTGATCACTGTCACAACACCACTGGCTTGTAGCCTGTGTTGTGATCACTGTCACAACACTGGTGGCCTGTAGCCTGTGTTGTGATCACTGTCTCAACACTACTGGCCTGTAGCCTGTGTTGTGATCACTGTCTCAACACTGGTGGCCTGTAGCCTGTGTTGTGATCACTGTCTCAACACTGGTGGCCTGTAGCCTGTGTTGTGATCACTGTCTCAACACTGGTGGCCTGTAGCCTGTGTTGTGATCACTGTCTCAACACTACTGGCCTGTAGCCTGTGTTGTGATCACTGTCTCAACACTGGTGGCCTGTAGCCTGTGTTGTGATCACTGTCTCAACACTGGTGGCCTGTAGCCTGTGTTGTAATCAGTCACAACACTGGTGGCCTGTAGCCTGTGTTGTAATCAGTCACAACACTGGTGGCCTGTAGCCTGTGTTGTGATCACTGTCTCAACACTACTGGCCTGTAGCCTGTGTTGTGATCACTGTCTCAACACTGGTGGCCTGTAGCCTGTGTTGTGATCACTGTCTCAACACTGGTGGCCTGTAGCCTGTGTTGTAATCAGTCACAACACTGGTGGCTTGTAATACAATAATAATTAACTGTGTTAGGTGACGGGGAGCCAGGTGTGTGCTTATACACGTTTGACTTATATCAACGACCCCCCCCCCTTTCCCAAGGTCGAATTACAGACCCCAGACTGTACCGCCACAACCAGCTGACCAGCTCCTGGGTACCTCCCTACTTGCTGCTCCAGGCACCAAGTAGGTAGGGAGAGAAGCCTACCTCTTCCTGTCACAACTATATCCTACGATGGAGTACAATTGTTGAAATCCATATATATAGGTCCAGGATGATGACTTCCTAGACTAACTTTGACGAGAATATCAGAGAAAGAGAGGAAATGTGGCGCCGCAACACACCATGTGGTGCCGCAACACACCATGTGGTGCCGCAACACACCATGTGGTGCCGCAACACATGGTGTGTTGCGGCATGTGTAAAAGAAAAGATTGTGAAAATGCTGCCATATGTGATAATATTCAGGAAATATAACAAATATAAAAGTTGATAATTAGTAGTCTGAGAATATGAGAAAAAGTACGCGCTTGTTAAGTGGATATGATGGTAGGGTATAGCTTCGATTTTATCACTAATTGTCACTGCTCTCCGTGAATCTAACTATATACCGTAGGGTTCCAAAGCATATTTATAAATATTTTCACTTTCAGTTTTGAGGATAGGTGAGGAACTGTCGAATCGATTTTCTATAAAAACTCACGTCTTAGAAAATGAGAAATTCTCTATTGTAACTATGACTGACTAAAATAAAAAACAAAAAAGTAATATTTTTTATTTATTTATTTATATACAAGAAAGTACATTAGGTTTGTGAGAATACATAGCATAGTATTTACAATCTTGTAAAGCCACTAACTAGTACGCGCAGCGTTTCGGGCAGGTCTTTAATCTAACAGATTAATATTAATATTATTATTATTACTAAGTAATGGTAATGTCTTCTTGTAGACATAATAACAAAGGATATAAACCAACACATATATTTGTAAATTTTATGTAAAAATATACACCAAGTCTTTCGCACTCTCCCGAGTGCTTTGTCAAGGTCTGAGTGTGGTTAGGACCAGACTTACATATCAACGGGTAATCGCTGTCGATTTAAGACCAAGTCGTTGAGATTCAGTCTCGTCCAAACCACACACTCAGACCTTGACAAAGCACTCAGGACGGTGCGAAAGACTTTGTGAGTTTTATGTAAAGATTTATACCAACAAATAAGTGTGAGTTTTTATCCTATATCATTATTATTATTATTATTATTATTATATTTATTTACAAGCAGGCACAATGGGTATGCAAGATTACATAAGATTGGTATTTTTACATTCTTGCAAAGCCATTAACACGCATTGGGTTTCGGGCAGGTCCTTATAATCTAACATATCGGGTAAGATAAAAAAGGTGCATTTGCAGCAAATTGTATATTAACATATAACTACAATAAAAATTGATAGGTGATTTTACACTGGTGAAGATATGTCTTAAGTACTAATATTATGCAAGTTGGTAATACAAGATACAGTGTAAGTTTGAAGCACAAGGTAGGAAACTGAGGATAAAATTAGGTACCTGGTTGATGGGGTTCTGGGAGTTCTTCTACTCCCCAAGCCCGGTCCGAGGCCAGGCTTGACTTGTGAGTTTTGGATTTACTTTTTGGATTTACTTATGAATAAGGCATAGGTTTAAAATTTGTTAATTAATTAGGGAGAGAGTTCCATAGACTGGGTCCTTTTATTTGCATGGAGTGTTTGTGCAGATTTAGTTTGACTCTGAGGATATCAAAGAGATATTTGTTTATGGTGTGGTGCTCACTGGTTCTATTACACCTATCCAGGAAAAGTTTCACATCAAGATTAGCATTTAGGAACAAGGTTTTGTACATATAAATAGCACATGAGAATGTGTGTGGAGTGAGTATGTTTAGCATGTTAAGGGACATAAACAGAAGACTTTTAATTGTTGAAAGACAAAGGCAGTGAACTTATATACTGTGACTCGCAAAATGCACTCCTGGTATTGAACGCACATAGTAGTGACACCCAGAAAATAGTCAGTGATATTCGAATGAATGTTTTAGCTGCTAAAGAAAACAGATTTGAAATTGAATTCCTTTGGATACCATCACATGTTGGCATCTCAAAGCATGACAATGTTGACATACTTGTAGACAGCCTGTAGTAGACCAGTAGTAAAAATTGATATGGGTGTTTCATTAGCAGTGATAAAGAGAATACTTAAACAAATATCTAATGAAAATCTTACTGATCTAACAAATTCATAAACCTGAGAGCTGTAGCATTAAATATTATGATAGATATCGTGAAGAGACATTCACATATGGGACTAATAGAACAAGAACCCGGCAATGTGATGTTATAGTGGCCAGAATACGCCTGGGATATAGACGTATCTGGCAGCTTTCTCAAAACCCATATGTCGAGTACACAATGTGTCAACTTTGTGAAAGAGAAAACATGCACTCCTTGAACATTATTTTGTAGAATGTCCCATATTGACAGATTCCCCCCCCCCCCACCCCCCGCCCTGGTTGAGATAGGGTTGTAAATACTATATGAATACTAGAACACTTGATGATATATTGTGAAAGTTGTTAATACACCATGTGTATTAAAACATGGTGTATTAAAACACATGATGTCGACACCCAAGATTGACTATGTAATGCATCAGTAATACAATGTGATGACCTTGTAAAAGCATCTTAATCACCTTCAGTAGTTAATGCTTAATAACGCGCTAATTTCTATAGCAGCTATAGCTGTCAAAGTAAGGAGACATAAATGTATGTGTGTGTGTATATATATATATATATATATATATATATATATATATATATATATATATATATGTGTGTATACAGGATATGTGGAAGCTGGTCTAAATTAAATTTCACCTTTGTAAACTCACATTAATGACACTATGTAAAAAGACACCTCGAACACTGCATATGTAGGATAGACGTAAATCTGTGTACCTATGTATTATTGTTTGTGAGTTAGATTAGTATTTTAAAATCACTACAATCACTTTCTGGGGTTGATTGTTCAATAAATCACTGAACTACATGTTTAACAGATCTCTAACCCGGTCCATGGCGGACAGAAGAAAATGTGTATTGGCTGGTTGGCATTATAAATGTGTGGCCACGTCTGTGGTAGAACAAAAATCTCCCTCATGCTTTTACAGGCCCATGTTTGGTTTAAGTTAGCTATACCTCAGTGATGTTGGCCGGCACCCCGTCCCACCCCTCTACCTTCCCTGCTGCTTAACTACTACTGGTACATTGTCTTTCTGACTCTAAACTTCTGCACCTTATAGTCCTTGTTATGGGTTCAGATCATTGTTATACCTGATCTGATAGTTTCAAGGTCTTTGCCAGTATGACATGACTCCCTCTTGATCCATGTCATCTACTTGAAGACCTCGATCATGTGCCCTCTCACCCTCCACCTCTCCCGGTACTGTAGGTCCGGCTCCCTTACTCAGTGCTCGTAGGGGGAGATCCCAGACACCTGGGATCTGTCCGCTCATCATACTGTGGACTTTCTCCCAGAAATCGATGTCCACTCTGTAACTCTGTAGCAAGGTGACCACAATTAGACGATGCAGCACAAATGGTATTATTAACAATTGATTTGATAAGATAGGAGAGAGGGGTCCGTCATTCCCCTTCAGGGTTTTAATTCATTTTATCTGGGACAGGCAGCCTGTGTATATGTATTATATATATATATATATATATATATATATATATATATATATATATATATATATATATATATATATATATATATATATATATATATATATTGTTAATGTAACAATCTCCATTGAGGACTGGTAAAATCCTGAATCATTTGTTCAGGAATGCCCTAGGGCAGTCCTGAACGCAAGACCTTGAACTAATTCTTGTCGACCAAGGCACCACCCATATCACTTCTGAGTAGTAAAAATTTAATAGTAAGAAGGAAACTACACAGGTGTCAGAACCAACACAGCTTTTCACCGGGGAACAATTGGGGTCGGGTGCGCTCAACAGATGGCGTTGAAATCGTCACAGGAGCACAAAAGGATTTTACCAATCCTCAATGGAGATTATTACATTAACAATTACATCCATCCTGCACACCTTACAATGTCAGCTGGTTAGATATCCAATTACGATACGGGGTACTACAGGGTCATAGAAAAGCTGATCTTTATTATTATTATTATTATTATTATTA